CATTGATCAGCTGCCTCCTGCACGATCCACAATGGGGATGGGGCCGCAACCCGGGTATGTGCCCTGACCGGAAATTGAACCTCAACTGCCTGGTGCATAGGTTGATGCTCAATCACTGAGACACGCAGGCCGGGCCCATTTAAATTTTTAATGCTCATTTGCCAACCTGGGGTGAGTCAACTCTTCTCCATCCCCAGGAAGAGTCAGGGTGTGGGTGGTGCTTCCAGGACATGCCAGCCCCCCCCCCCCCCCCCCGGGCTTTATCACACACTGAATTTAGTACGTGGATCATTTTAATGGGGTTGAGAGGCTGAGAATGCAAAAGGGAAGCACAGGGGTAAGAGCTGCTGGAACAAAAGGGTGTAGGGACAGGGGTCTCAAGCATCTGAGGAGAGGGCACCCCTGTAGCTGCTGGACCCTCAGACGCTCAGGGAGGTAGCCCTGAACCCTAGCTGTGTGGTTTGAGCAACTTACCAAAACTTCCTGTGCCTCAGTTTGCCCTTCCTTGAAGTGGGACAGTAACTACCTTCATGAGGTCGTTGAATGGACTGAATGAGTTTAATTCAAGCTTGGTGCTCAGAACCGGGCCTGGCCGGTTTGCGATACCTGAGGTCCAACTCTTGTCCATCGAGAATGCAAACCCCTTTTGCAGAGAATTTTCTAGTGAATCCAGGGCAATTCAGTTCCTCAGGGGCACTGGACCATGTCTAGGGATGATTTTGGTTGTCACAACTGGCAGGAAGGGATGCTCCTGGCATCGAGTGGGCAGAAGCCAGGGGTGTTACAATGCACTGGATAGCGCCTATCACAAAAACTGATCATGTGCCTGCCCCCCCAGCCATCCTCCGATCAAACCCTCCCTTCCCTTTCTCCCCCACCTGCCTCCACCTCCAGCTTGGGTCATCCTGGGTCTGAGTCAAAGGGAGAAGATCAAAGGAAACACCCCCACTCCCTCTACCCTTGTCCCTTCCCCAGATCTGAGGCTGGACTGGGGCCATCAGAACATCAGATTTCTGGCCAGGGGAGGGGGGACGCAGGTCTGGCGTCAGGGGGCAGCTGGGGACGCTCTGAGATATTGAAGGCTGTTTGTATCTCTCTTGACCCCAAGCCTGTCTGTCTGTCTGTCCAGTTCCAAGGGCTGGGAATTCATCTGTCCTTCCTGACTGCCTTCCCTCTGGGCAGAGCCTAGATCCTCCTGGCAAATCCAGGCCCCCCTTAGCCCCTGGGGCATGTCTGTCTCCACTGGTTGCCCAACCGGTAGCTGAGTCAGTCCTGACTGGGAATGAACAGCCCACCCCTCCCATAGGACTTTTTTTTTCTTTCTCCTCACCAAGGATATTTACTGATTTTAGAGAAAGAGGAATGGGGGGGGGGGGGGGAGAGAAAGACTTTGTCCCCCTTACTCTGAGGGACTGGGACAGAACTGCCAGGGCCCCTGGGAGGGCTTCAGCTGGAGAAACCTAACAGGTGATTGGCAGATAAGGGGTCAGGACTTTACCCCCAGGTCACCGAGGACTTCAGGTGGAGTTTGGGGGGTAATCTGAAAGAAGCTTGAATACTGAGCCACCTTTTCCCATCCAGGTGGACCCTCCCCTGCGGGGAATGAATAACTCAAAGATATTGGTGGTCACCTGTTGACCGGGGTTCAAACCTGCAACCTTTTTGGTTACGGGAGGACACTCCAACCCACTGAGCCACCTGGCCAGGCGTCCCATAGGACTTTTTATCTGACTCTTCCATTCTCTCCCAAAACTCTGCCTTAAGTCTTTGGTGACCTGGAGGTAAAGTCCTGGCTCCTTATCTGCCATTCAATCACCCTTCTGGGTTTCCCCAGCTGAAGTCGTGACCATGGGGAATTGGGAGGGTCCAGCTCTGACCTGGTCCCTCAGACTAGAGGGGTCCCTCAGACTAGGGGCTCCAAATCCTTAGGGATCCAGCATTGCTCAGCATGAGGCTAGATCCCCTGAATGAATGAGTCCACGAATGAAGGGCAGCTCTCCAGCTGAGCCTCAGAGTCAGCGGCAGCCTTGCTCCTGCCTTCCCCACAGTCAGGGCCAGAACCCAAAGATGTGTTGGGGCTCCCCCCTCTTGCTGGTGCTGAGTCTGTCCCAAGAGGCTGCTGGGATGATCCCCGAGTTCCTGCCCCACACAGAAAGCTGATGGAAGAGTGGACACTGAGCCACCTTTTCCAGTGCCTTTCATTTCTCTTGGTTAAATCTAAAGGGAGTTTGACTTTCAGGAAGGAATTGAGGTTCTTATCTTTTCTTATCCCTTTATCTCCTCCCTGTCTGAATTTCTGATTCTCTGCCTGTATGTCTAGCATTCAATTATGTGACAGACATTTATTTTTAATTTGTATTTCAATTAAATGTATTGGGGGTAACATTGCTTAATAACATTATATAAATATTAAGTGTAAAACCTTAAAATCTGACATCTGTGTGCTCCATTGTGTGCTCACCACCTGAAGTATAATCTTATCTCCTCACCATGTATTTTACCCCCTTTACCTTCTTCATTCTCCCCCCAACATCCTTCCCTCTGGTAACTAGTGTTCTGTTGTCTTAGATATTTCTTGAGCTCCTATTATGCGCCAGGCATTGCTGGAGGCAATGCAGTTACTAAGACTGTTCAGGTCCCTGCCTCGGGGCAGACAGTTACAGCTGGGAGTGGGGAGAGCAGATGCTCAGGGCTGTGATGGAAGCAGCCCAGGGCACTGTGAGAACCCAGAGTAGTAACAGGGGTGGGCAACCTTTTGTGAGTGCGTGCCAAAACCAGCAAAATCTCTGACTCAAAATTCTTCTGCGTGCCAACCCTAATTTTTTGAGAACATGTTAACACCTACTTGATATCTCTTAAGGTGTACATATGTGAAGAACCTTGAAGAAATAATAAAATTCATTAGAGCGACAAAAACACAGTATATGATGATGAAAAATACATTTATTTTTTAATGTGTACATGTACACTGATAGTCCGACAGAAAACTTTATGACTCCGTTTGATATTATCAGTGGGACTTTTTCTGCTGCATCGCTGATGACAGAGATTTTACATCAGGTTTATATTTCGTGACCTTCAGAGATATGCATGAGCTACTAGTTTCATCCGTCAGGCTACTCCTATTACGAGACTTATCAAAATTCATCACTGAGAACAAAGATTCACAAGCGTATGTGGATGAAAACATGGAGAGTAACGCTGTTGCAAAGCTTTTTAAACAGAAAAAATTTTCTGGAATGGCATTCCAAGTCCTCAATAATTCGTTTTCACACTATTGAAATTGCTCTTCCCCTCTCTTGTCAATCCATGTCTATGGTCTTTAAGATAACTTGTTATGTAAAATTATTTATTTATCTAAGATGCACCTACACTGAATTTATCTGAAAAATAAAGAAGTCAATATTAAGAAAAAAATTGTAAATGGAAGATTATAAGAGAGGGTTTTGCGTGCCAGCAAAAGTTATTGGCACGCGTGCCAGGGGTTGCCCACCCATGGCCTAGGCAGTGGTTCTCAACCTTCCTAATGCCGAGACCCTTTAATACAGTTCCTCATGTTGTGGTGACCCCCAATTTCATTGTTACAAATTGAACATAATTAAAGCATAGTGATTAATCACAAAACAATATGTAATTATATATGTGTTTTCCGATGGTCTTAGGTGACCCCTGTGAAAGGGTCGTTGGACCCCCAAAGGGGTCGCGACCCACAGGTTGAGAACCGCTGCCCCTAGAGGGTGCTGAGAAGGCTTTCTGGCTGAGAATATTAAGAGCTAACACATCTATCACTTTTTGTTGTTAATCCTCGCCCAGGATATTTTTTCCACTGATTTTTAGAGAGAGTGGGAGGGAGGGAGGAAAAGAGGGAGAGAGGAGGAGGAGGAGGAGGGAGAAACATCTCGGTAAGAGAGACAATCAATTGGTTGCCTCCTCTTCGCGGGGGAACCGGGGCCAGGAAGGAGCCTGCAACCCAGGTATGTGGCCTTGACAGGAAATCGGACTCATGACCCTTCCGTGCTCAGGCTGATGCTCTAACCACTGAGATACCAGGGCGCTTATGTCACTTTTAACATACATTATACCCATTCTAGAGCTGGGGAGACTGAGAACCCACGAACTTAAGGGGCTTGTCCTAGCTGGAACAGCTAGGAGGCGGGCTGGTCCGGATCCCAGGATTCTGGCCGTGCAGGTTTAAAACCACTGCTGGAGGAGGCCTGGAGGCCAGAGCTGGGGGTGGAACTTGAAACCGCTTGTGTGGTGACCAATTGTCTGGGAAGAGAATTGAAACAGAGTAGGGAGGGGTCCAGAGCACTGGCTCCCGGGAATGCGCGCACCTGACTCGCTGTCAGGTGAACACTATGCGCCCTTGAGCACCTCTCTTGCTCTTTGGGCGTGTTTCTTGCCTGTGAAATAGGAGAGACTTGCTCCGCCTCCCGCCCAGCTGGGATGAGTAAATCCACGTGGGGTGTTGGCACAATTGGCGCTCATTAAATGCCAGCTGGTGTTATTATGACGCTTATCCCCATTATTATCCTTAATAACTAATTAATTAGAACTAATGCGTCCTCTCCGCGCCCAATTGGGTGTCTCCGGCCGCAAAGCCACCGGACCCCGCGGAGAGAGGAACGAGCTGCATCTAAGACCTTCCCCCAACACACATCCCAGCTCAGCCCATACCCCCCCCCCCCCCCAGCTCACATTTGGCTGGTAAAGCTGGGACTGGCTTGGGTGGCATGGGCCTGGCAACCGGAGTCTGGGTGGGGGCGACCCTTGCGTCACCCCCAACTTCGTGGTGAGGGGTCCGAGAAGCCCGAATGACCGTAGAGCGCTAGGACCCCGCAGCTCTGTCGGAGCCGGGTGTGTAGGCCCAGCTTACCCCCCAGACCACGCCCATCTCCAAGATGATTGGCTCGCCACACCCGGCACGCGGCCCCGATTGGCGGAAGAGGCCTGGATGCCCCGCCCCTCCCCTCCCGGACCGTAGTCTCGGGGCCAGAGGCTCCAGGGCCGCAGGAGCGCTCGGCGGGGCGGACGGGCAGAGGCAGTCGGTGGTGGGGGGAGAGGGGCTCCCACGGTCGGGCTCGGGGGTCCCGTTTGCGGCGCGTCCGACGGCCCAGGCCGAGCCCGGAGTGCTGCCATGGGCCCGGGGCCCCCGACGGCCGGAGCTGGGGCGCCCCCGCGGCCGCTGTCCCTGACGGCGCGGCTGAGCTACGCCGTGGGCCACTTCCTCAACGACCTGTGCGCGTCCATGTGGTTCACCTACCTGCTGGTCTACCTGCACTCGGTGCGCGCCTACAGCTCGCGCGGCGCCGGGATTTTGCTGCTGCTCGGCCAGGTGGCCGACGGGCTCTGCACGCCTCTGGTGGGCTACGAGGCCGACCGCGCCGCCGGCCGCTGCGCCCGCTGCGGGCCTCGCAAGGCCTGGCACCTGGTTGGTAAGTCGCGGCCGAGCCGCTCCCATTCACCTGCCTGCCCAGTGCCCCCCGTGGCCAGATCTTCCCTTCTGTGTCTGCCCCAGTGCCTGAGCCAACCCCTCTGCCGAACTCCCTGCCCTCCCCCCGCTTCTGTCTCTCTGTCCCTTGGCCTGAACCTGCCCCCTAGTCTGTCACATGACCTGAGCCTTCTGCCTCTGCCCCAGGCCCTGAGTCTTCTCCCTCTGTCTGCCTAAGGCTGCTGTCTGACCTGTCAAGCCCCTTCATCCGACTCAGTTGGTGAGACCTCCTGGTGTGCTTCCCTTAGTCTGACCCCTGGGGCTCCCTGAACCATCTTCGGGTTGGGTCTGTCAGTCTGGCTTGTCTGGCTTGACCTCCTCATCTCTCTATCAGGGTGACCACCAGGACAGCTTGGCCCAAGTGGGGGTCAGACTAGAGCCCCCTCTGCCTGGCCGTCCGTTTCTGCAGTGCTCTCTGTCCGTGCCTCCCCAATGTGGGCAACGTGGCGCTTGGGCGTTTGGGGGAGCTGCCCTGGCAGCTGAGAGTTGAGTTGGGGGCAGGTGAGACAGAAGGGTGAGGGGTCTGTACCTGACTAACGGGATGGGGTCTGCTGGACAGGTCGTGGGCTCGCCCTCTGGCCTGGGGCCTTTGCCTGCCTAGAGGGCTGTTGGGGAGGGTAAGCAGCAGGTCCCAGGGGGCTGGGGCGCCCTGCCCTGTGCGCACTGATGATAAGCCTGTGTCCATGCGCCCTTCTCTGCCCGCCCAGGCCTTGAGCTTGGAGATTAGCCCTGGCCACTTTCCCTGGCACTAGTGCCCACCACAGCCTGGCATTGGGGGCCCTCCAAGCATTTCAGGAGGCAGGACCAGGAATCCTGCCACTCGGGGAACTCTGGAATTCTGGGTGGCAGCTTTTTAGAAGGCAGGCGGACGATGAGGGGTGAGACATTTACCCTGGGCCCTTTTGAGTGACGTTTTGCAAGGTGCTACAGATCTCCTAATGGCCTGAGGGTGGCTTGCTTAGTGTGGCCACATCCTGGGGGTGGATTTCAGGTTTGTCAGGTCTGAGCTTGCCCGGGCTGTTCTCGGGCCACTTTAGATGGCTGGACACTCAGTGAGGGTCCCACCTGACCCCAGGAAGAACTTGATTTTCCCCCGCAGAGGTGGGTGGTAGGGGTGCTGAGGGCACTTTTGTAAATAAGAACTGAACGGTTTGTGTTTATGCAAAACAGGCCTGGGGGTGGAGTGCCCCAACCAGATACCCAGGTCTCTACCTGCACCCCTTCATGCCCATCTTGAGGTGGAGGATCTGTGGAGAGAGGAAGCCGGGGTAGCCCCTCAAAATGCCTGATGAGGTGACTAGGGCGACGGTCACCCCAGCAAGTGCCCACTTCTCTATTTGCCCCTGAGTCTGTGGGTGGTGGTGATAAACTCACTCTTTCCCTTAACAAGCCCTCCCAGCTGCCCTCTTGCCTAGAGAGGCCATCGAAGCTGGACATGGATACTCCTGTGAGGCTCAGGCTGGCAGGCGAACGGACCGGGCTTCATAAGAAAGAAGCAGAGCTCTGAGAAAGACAGGAAATTGCCTTTGGGGTTTTGGAGGAGGAATGAAAGTGTGTTTCTGTGCCGGTTGTGGGGGTACATTCCAAGTAGTGGGAAGAGCTTGTGTGAAGGTGTGAAATATCATGGTTTTGAGGCCGCTGAGGTGGGGAGTAGCTCAGTAGCCACTTTCACACATTAACTCTCAATTCTCACATCGACCTCAGGAGGCATTTCCATGTTCTGGACACTGAGGCCCCGAGAGCAGTCACATGCCCAAGGCCCCCCAGCCAGGCAGCCTCGCTCCTACAATGGTTAACTGGCCTGGGCAGCAGCAGGGTGGAGTCCACCCAGGGCTGCACATTCTTCTGACCAGCGTCTTCAGTTGGTGCTTGGCGTGCATTTGCCCAGGATGCCCCTCCCAATTCCAGAGAAAGAACCAAGCTGGTTTTGGTTTCATTTCCTGATCCCAGAGCTGTGGGGGCGAGCCAGGGTCTGGGGATGAGGTCATCTCCGGAGCCTGGGGGAGTAAGGAAGTCCAGCTGCCAGACCCCTTCCAGGCTCAGGGATGGGAGGAAAGGACTTTGATAGACCTGGGACCCATCCCAACAGGACCCACAGTCTGGTGGGGTAGGCAAACAGGAAACAAGCAGACAGACAGACAGACAGACAGACATAAGAATTTCTGTGTGTGCTAAGGGGTGAGAGGAAAAGAAAGCAGGGTCCAGAATAGACCCTATTGAAGTGGCAAGGGGACTGTCAGTGACTGAGCTGATCAGGGAGGGCTTCTTTGAGGAGGTGGCATTTGAGTTGAGTCCCGAGGGATGGAAAGAAGAGCATTCCAGGCAGAGGGCACAGCATGTGCAAAGGTCCTGAGGCAGGACTGTGCCTGGCATGTTGGAAGAGCCCTGTGTGGCTAGAGTAGAGTGAGCAAAGGGGCAGGGAGGGGACGGGGGCAGGTTGTGCAGGGCCTTGGGGAGGACTGGGCTTGTTCTGAGATATTGGAATGTTTGCCAGGGACAGGTCCCCTTATGAGCTAGGGCAGGATCCACCCTCACCTGACCTCCTGACTCCTGGTGGTCCCCAGGATCCTTGGTAGGAACCGGGGAGGAAAAGGCTCGCTCCCGGGAACAGGAAGTTGTGGGTGTAAATGGTGTGTCTGTAGTGGGTGGTTTTCCAGGGGACCCCACAGCAGCCTTTCAACCTGCTGTGTGATCTCAGGGTCTTTGCGCTTCAGCTGCCCCACCTGTCATCAGGGGCAACCCCCGGGGAGTCCTGGACTGCCATGGGGAGGCCCTGCTCTTCCTCCCTCTTATTACCTGGCCACACGTCCTGGTCCTGCCACTCGTGTTACGGCGTGTAACCTCAGGACCATGCCAGCCTGTTCTGTGTCTCCATTGGATGGGTGGGTGGAGGCCTGCCCACCCCCCACCCGTTTGGCTGTGTGACTTCTAGGGAACCCCAGATCTATCTGCTTCAGTTTACCCATTTGTCACAGGGGCCATAAGCCTGAGGAGCTCTGGGCTGCTGATCCCATACACCACACTGCGTGACTTTGGGAGGGTCTCTAGCCTTTTCTGTGTCTCTGTTTTATTCTCACCTGGTCACACCCCAGGGAGCCCTCGGCCACTGTGGGAAGGTCCGGCGTATGACCCCCTACTCTGCCCATCCACAGGCACCATCTGTGTTCTGCTCTCCTTCCCTTTCATCTTCAGCCCCTGCCTGGGCTGTGGGGCATCCACACCTGAGTGGGCCGCCCTCCTCTACTACGGGCCCTTCATTGTCATCTTCCAGTTTGGCTGGGCCGCTACACAGATTGCCCACCTCAGCCTCATCCCCGAGCTCGTCACCAATGACCACGAGAAGGTGGAGCTCACAGCTCTCAGGTACGACCCGGCAGGGCGGGGTTGGGCGGGCACATGCACAGCAGGTGAGGACCGGTCACACCCTCGGGGACTCCCAGCCCAGCTGATACCTCTGTAACATAGTAACCAGTCACCTGCAGCTGCTTGTATAACGAATGACCACCAAGCAGCTTCAAACAGCATTTATCATGTCATGGTTTCTGTGGGTTAAGAGGCTGTCTCAGTGGAGTTTTCTGCTTCAATGTCAGTCTTGAGGCTAGAGCTGGTCTCATCTGAGATTTGGGGTCCCTCCTTCCTGCTCATGTAGTTGGTGGCAGAATGAATTTTCTTTTTCTTTTTTAAAAACTCCGCCCACCAGGGTGGCCTCCCCCCACATCCAGGCACTGGCTTCCAGGACAGCCTCCTTCCTGTGGAGTACCCCCCCTTCCCCAGTGGCATCATCCAAAGCTACGAGCTGCAGCTGCACAGGGCTTGCCTTCCGCACACAGACGCTCCCTGCACCCCCAGCCAGACGGAGACGCGGTACAGGGCCCGGGGCCCAGTGCCAGCCTGAGGGGGCTCCAGCCTTACACCACCTACAGGCTGCGCAAAAAACAAACAAACAAAAAAACTTTTTTATTGATTTCAGAGAGGAAGGGAGAGGGAGAGAGATAGAAACATCAGTGATGAGAGAGAACCTTGATTGGCTGCCTCCTGCACACCCCCTACTAGGCAATCGAGCCAGAAACCTGGGCATATGCCCTTGACCGGAATGGAACCTGGAACCCTTCAGTCTGCAGGCCAACGCTCTATCCACTGAGCCAAACCAGCTAGGGCTGAATTTTTTTTCTTTTTTAAAAATTGATTTTTAGCCCTGACCGGTTTGGCTCAGTGGATAGAGCGTTGGCCTGCGGACTCAAGGATTCCAGGTTCGATTCCGGTCAAGGGCATGTACCTTGGTTGAGGCCACATACCCAGTGGGGAGTGTGCGGGAGGCAGCTGATCGATGTTTCTCTCTCATCGATGTTTCTAGCTCTCTATCCCTCTCCCTTCCTCTCTAAAAAATCAAAAAAAATATATTAAAAAATAAAAAAATAAATAAAAATTGATTTTTAGAGAGAGGGGAAGGGAGAGGGAGAGGGAGAAACATTGATGTGAGAAACAATGATAGGCTGCCTCATGCATGCCACCTACTGGGGATCAAGCCCACAACCCAGGCATGTGCCCTAACTAGGAATCGAACTGGCAACCTTCCAGTGCCCAACCAACTGAGTCACCCCGGCCAGGGCCAGAATTCAGTTTCTTACAGACGGAGAGCTCATGGTGGCTTGCTGATTCTTTGACACCAGCAGGGAGTCAGATCTCAGGGATGGCTTAAGCCCTTTTTCTAAGAATCACCTGAGAAGGCCAGGCCCACCCAGGATAATCTGTAATTACACCTGAAAAATCCCTTCACCTGTAGCACAGAAGTTGCCTAAATATGGGTGTGCTATCCCATCACATTCAAAGGTCCCATCCCCAAGGGGAGGGATGAGGCACGGCAGGACCGGGGCGTGGGAGTCTCCAGAGCCATCTTAGAATCCTGCCGACGACCAGTTGGTGCCCAGCTTATCCAGCACTTGCTTGAGGTGCTAAAGGAGGCTGTTCTGGATCTGCTGATCATAGGAGCATTTGTGACGTGCTTGCTGTATGCCAGGCACAGTTCTGGGCCCTTCACATGGTCCTCTTCTGTAATCTTCACCACACACCCAGGTTGTCATGTGCCCAAGGCCAGACCAAAGTGCCTATGGGACATGCACGTGAAGAAAAAGGAGGTGGCAGTTCCAGCCCGAAGGGAGAGGGCATGTGAGGGTCGCCAGTGTTGCTGGAGCTCAAAGAGCCCAGCTGACAGTTGGCCCCCGGTAAGTGCATGTTACTCTTGCTATTTTGTAGCATCTTTGTTGAGGGTCCTGCCTGCCTCCACCTCAGCCTGTTTGGTCCCAGTTTGGTCTGCTCCCCATCCGTCTTTGAGTTCCCCATTATGGCTGAGAGCTGCAAGCACTAACGACACGGGTTGCTCAATGCCCCGGCCCCTGAGGGCCCCAGATGTTAGGGGTCAGGCTACGCCAGGCCAAGCTCTGGTGCGCTTCTACCTGCAAGTGCTTTATTGCCAACGCTGTCATCTTCACTGTGACCTCTGGGTATTGTTCTTACATTTATTTATTTAAATATATTTTTATTGATTTCAGAGAGGAAGGGAGAGAGATAGAAACGTCAATGATGAGAATCATTGATCGGCTGCCTCCTGCACGCCCCCTGCATGTGCCCCAACTGAGAATGCAGAATTGAGCCCGCAACCCAGGCATGTGCCCCAACTGAGAATGAAACCGTGACCTCCTGGTACATAAGTCAGTGCTCAACCACTGAGCACACCGGCCTGGCTGTTCTCCCTTTTAGAAAGGGAAACTGAGTCCTGGTGAGACCCAGAGGTTGCTCCTCCCCTGACCTTCCCAGCCCCTGAAGGGATATCATGCCGGGGCTGCAGGCAGGCGCAGACCCAGATGATCCTAGACCTTGCCCTGCTGAAGCCCAGGATCTTGGTACCAAGAATTCCAGAATCCTGGCTTCTGAGCATCTTGGGTTCTCAGACTTGACTGGACCCTACTTTGCTGAGTCTCTGCATCCCAGCCCCTTGTCGTGGTGGTTGAGGGTCAGAGTTGTAAATCATCGGACAACATGCAGGCTGGGTAAGCTGGGGCCAGCAGGGGCTTCCCTGGGGCCACCCAAGGTTTGGTGGCTAAAATTATCTGTCACCCGGAGGTTCCCCAGAACCACAAGCAGCTCTCACTGTGTTGCTGCCTGGAGAGGAAGTGGCCCTGTGGTTTCCCGGGCTGCCATGTTGAGGCCTCGCCTGTCCCCACCAGGTACGCCTTCACTGTGGTGGCCAATATCACTGTCTATGGTGCTGCCTGGCTCCTGCTCCACCTGCAGGCCTCTGCAAATACGGGGCCCACCCCGGATGTCAGTGACCAGCTGGGGGTCCAAGATGTGCCAGTATTTCGGGTGAGCTGGGGCCGGGGTGGGGGCCAAGGATGCTGCTGGTGGGATGGGACCTCCCCCAGGCCCTGAACTTGGGCCTGGGCCGTGAGAGCCACTGCTGATGCCTTTTCTGCGGATCCTCAGAACCTCTCCCTTTTGGTGGTGGGCATTGGTGCCATCTTCTCACTGCTGTTCCACCTGGGCACCAGGGAGGGGCGCAAGCAGCTGGTGGAGGAGCCGGATGAGCACAGCCCCCTGTTGGCCCCCACCACGGCCCGGCCCTTGCTGCTCTGGAAGCACTGGCTGCGGCAGCCGGCCTTTTACCAGGTAGGTCTGTGATGGGGCAGAGCTGGCTGGAGTGGATGCCTGTCTCCCACCTGGCCCTTACTCTGGGGCTGCAGGCAGGATGGCCAGTAGATGAGCAAACAGATTTTCCATTTCACAGCAGGGCAGACATTGCTAATCAATTACTGCTCTCTTCTCCCCCTGTCCAGCTATGGTCCCTAATAGTGGGTCAGGTGTCCCTGCAGCTAGGCCCTGTGTCCCCTGCTGGTGGAAGTGGAGAAGGGCCCTGTCTGACCCCTGAACCAGCCCCTCTGTTTGCCCGTAGGTGGGCTTCCTGTACATGAGCACGCGGCTCATCGTGAACTTGTCCCAGACGTACATGGCCATGTACCTCACCTACTCCCTCAACCTGCCCAAGGTGAGCTGGGGAGGGCGGGCCAGGGCTGTGGGTGGGTCCTGCGCCCAAGGAGGCCCACCTGACACGCCCATGTCCACTCTGCCCCAACAGAAGTTCATCGCCACCATCCCACTGGTGATGTACCTCAGCGGTTTCTTCTCCTCCTTCCTCATGAACCCGATCAACAAGTGGATCGGGAGGAATGTGAGTGTGGGTTGGTGGGGGGCAGGGGGTCACGCATAGACAAGGACCCTCATAACGCAGGTGCACAGAACCCAGGTAATTGCATACCTCAGCTTCTACACCTTGTAGCTGCCCTGTGTCGCAGATCCATCTTCTAGAATCCTGGCTTCTGAGTGTCTTGGGGCTGCAGAGCTCTAGAAATTTCTGTGCTGACCATGTGCTAGCCAGGGTGGCTATGGAGTACTTGAAATGTGGCAGGCATGATGGAAGAACTGAATGATTTTTTTAAAAAAAGATATTTTATTGATGTTTTTACAGAGAGGAAGGGAGAGGGATAGAGAGCTAGAAACATCGATGAGAGAGAAACATCGGTCAGCTGCCTCCTGCACACCTCCTACTGGGGATGTGCCCGCAACCAAGGTACATGCCCTTGACCGGAATCGAACCTGGGACCCTTCAGTCCGCAGGCCGACGCTCTATCCACTGAGCCAAACCAGTCAGGGCAAGAACTGAATGATTTATTAAAAATTTTTAAAATGTATTTTTGATTTCAGAGAGGGAGAGAGAGAAACATCAATGATGAGTCATTGACTGGCTGCCTCCTGCACCTACTGCACTGGGGATTGAGCCCATAACCCAGGCATGTGCCCTGATCAGGAATCATACCGTGACCTCCTGGTTCATAGGTCAATGCTCAACCATTGAGCCATGCTGGGCCATTTTATTTAATATTAATTGATTTGCACTTAAGATGTAAATAGCCACCTGTCCCTAGACTGTCAGCTCCTGGGTGAGGTCAGAGCTGGGGGCTCCTTAGGGGTGGCCCAGCTTGACCCCCTCACTCTCTGGGGTTAGGGACTAGGTGGTGGTGGATTGAAGACCAGAGAGGGCAAGCGCCAGGCTAGGAGCTGCACAGTGAGGGGGCCTGATGCTGGTCTCTCCTGCAGATGACTTACTTCGTGGGCCTTCTGGTGATCCTGGCCTTTGCGGCCTGGGTGGCATTGGCAGATGGGCTGGGTGTAGCTGTCTATGCAGCAGCTGTGCTGCTGGGCATGGGCTGTGCCACCATCCTTGTCACGTCACTGGCCATGACAGCTGACCTCATCGGCCCCCACACGGTAGGGCTGGTGGGCCGGGCTGGGTGGGGGTTGGGGCCCAGGGCTCGGGCCCAGGCCAAGGGTGTTAACCTCCCTGCCTGTGTCCTCCCAGCACAGTGGAGCCTTCGTGTACGGCGCCATGAGCTTCTCGGATAAGGTAGCCAACGGGCTGGCAGTCATGGTCATCCAGAGCCTATACCCCTGCTCGTGAGTGTGACTCATTTGTAGTTCACGTAGCAAAGGCGCACTGTGTGTGCCCGGCACGGCCCCAGGTCTAGGGCATTGGGGGAATGCGAGTGGGCAGTGCTACAGGGGAGCCGGGCTGTGTCACTCAGACCCTCAGAGCCTGGGATTTCAGTCCTGATGACTAGACCACTGAGTTCTCGCCTTATAGAAGCCCAGGATCTGGGAACCAGAACTAGCCTGGTCCTTTGTCGTCATGGAGTTGGGGGTAATACAAGCCATGTTAATCACAGGAATAAATGTGTGATCCAGACCAGTGGCCAGGGGGGTGAGGGACACCACATACGGAGGCCTGACTGGTGCAGGTCAGAGAGGACTTCCTTGAGGAGGTGACATTGTCCTGAGAACTGGGGGGTATTGGAGTTCTAGGCAAATGGGAAGGAATAGCCAGTGCAAAGGCCCTGGAGCAGGACCAGGCCTGGTTTGTTGGAACAACACAATGGAGGCCCGTGTAGCTGGAGCAGAGTGAGTGAAGGGGAGAGAGTGGGGAGAGGTTTGCGCAAGTCATGCAGAGCCTTGTGGAGGACTTGGGCTCTCACCCCAAGGGAGTTTGGGAGACCTGGAAGGATCCGGGCAGAGGGGAGGCCTGACTCAGATGCTTACAGGCGCCCTCTTGTGGCTGCCTCCAGAAGGACAGTCTGTGGAAGGTGAGGGCTGGAGCCTTGGCAGAAACAGCCACACTGGTCCAGGTGGGTGGTGACGGGCTGGTCCAGGTGGAGGGAGAGGAAGGGGAGCAGTGGAAAGAGCTGCGATAGACTTTGAAGGCATAGCTGGTAGTACTGGCTGAAGTGTCATGTCGGAGGAGGAAAGGTGGTCAAGGGCGACCCCCTGGTTCTGGCCCGAAGCTGAAGTGGGCGGAGTAAGAGGCTCAGGCTCGAGAGTCCCCACAAATGTCTGCTCACCTGCTCTGTCCTCCCCCTTCCCCAGCTCGGAGCTCTGCTGCAGGGCCTGCGTAGGCTTCTACCACTGGGTGATGGTGGCTGTGACAGGCGGCGTAGGTGTGGCCGCCGCCCTCTCTCTCTGCAGTCTCCTCATCTGGCCCATCCGCCTGCGGAGTTGTGAGTTGTAGACACTCCCCTCCATTCCCAACCTGGTCATGGGTGGGAGGACTGGGGCAGGCCCCATGCTCACCAAACCCCCTCTCTTGCAGGAGTCCCTGGAGCTCAAGCCTGACATTCCCATATGGCCTCCTGCCCTATGCAAATGAGCTGCAACTGCACATTTCACGCCCTGCTCCTCAGGTGCCCACCTTCCCCTTGCCTGGCTGCAGGGATGGTGGGTGAGGACAAGAGGGGCTGGACCCCACTGGCTCATCTCCACCGGGGCGAGACACATAGCTAGGCCCTCTGGTATCGGAAGCTCATGGGTCCTCATAGACTTGGGGTGCCCTTGCTATGTTGCATGGGACTGCCCTGAACTCAGCTGCCCTCACCCCTGGTCTAGCTGGGGTCTCCAGGGCACTGCTGGCAGTGAATAAAGAGCTGCTCGCGGGAAGGACTGACCTCCGCTGTCTTCCTGGGCCCAGGACGGGGAGGGCAGTAGGGTCCCTACTCTGTCACTGGGGTCTTGGCTAGTAACTCCCTTCACCTGGCCGACCGGCGCCCCAGTCCCCAGATGTAGACAGACACCTGAGGAGAGGCACAGGGCCCCCACAGGGGACGGTCTTTATCAGACAGTGGGCATGTAGATGGGTGGGGACCGCTGGCCAGTGGATGGGCAATAGGGTTCCAGGTCCCACTGCCGGTAGTTCTGGGTTGTGTAGAGCGGACGCTGCATTGCCGACAGGTAGGGTACGTAGTCCGACACCCGCCCCAGCGGCTCCACCCCGTATTGGTGCCTGTTGACCACTGTGGGACAGGACCCAAGTCACCTCCTGGCTCCTGTTTCCTGGACCCAGGCAGTTTTACCCCCTCCCCTGGCCCCTGTGATGCCAGCCTCACCATATTCCTTGCCCCGGATGGGTCTGTCTTTCCACAGCATGGCCCCCCACCGCGTGCTGGGGGCTCTGTACTGAGCGGGCATGATGGGGTCATACCAGGCAGTCTCCTGGAGGCGCTGGGTTTGGGCTGCAGGGAGAGTGGGAGAGAAGGTCATCTTTGGCCCTTGAGACTGGCTAGGGTCAAGGTGGGCGGCCAGGCACGCACCTGAGGGCATGCTGTGCTTCCGGTGGCTGTGGCATCCATGCCAGTGGGTGTAAGCCTCCCGGTAGGGGCTGTCCAGGGCCCGTGGGAGCGTGTACCAGGCCTCACGGGGGTCCGAGTTGGTTAGGCCGGTGTACCATGTCTGGCCGGCGGAGTCACGTCCCATGGGTGTATACTTCCAGCGCACTGCCTGCTTGATGGCTGGTGTCCAGCGGGGCCCCTCCAGGGACAGGTAGTCATCACTAAGGGTGGAGGTAGGGGGCAGAGGCTAAGCCCGTGGCTGTCCCCGGCCCCTCCCTGGGCCACAGCTTGCCCATCTCTAGAATGGGTCTTTTACCCTCACTCCCACATGTGACATGGAGGGTGCAAAGGCCCAGCCCACACCGCAGAGGGCCTTCCTCCAGCTCCACTTGGCCATGTGTCCTCAGCACTGGACACTCCCGCCCAGGCTGGCAGGAGAGGCCCCCTCCTCTCTGCCACATCCTCCCTAGAACCTCAACCTTTCACCTTTTCTTGCCTCTCCCCCAAGGGACACCAGGGAGCGAGGATATAAAAGCTCTGGCCACTCCTGTGGTCCTAAGTCCTTGTCCAGCCTCCAGGAAGCCCCTTGGTCCACAGGCACGCCAGGAAGACGTGGTCTCAGCTGAGTGAGAGCATGTGGGGTGCCCACCCAGTCATCGGGGACCACTGGGAGTGAGGACAAGCTTCCATTAAAGGACAGACTATGTAGCGATTCATTTGTGCCTATTCCAGAGGGTGTCTCTGGTGCCAGAGCCTGTTTAGGTTGAGAACACAAGCAAACTGAGAAAGTAGGTGCGGGAAGGAGAGGAGGAGGGAGAAGACCACTCCAGGTGAAGGAAGTAACATGTGCAACTGCTCTGGGGCAGCAGAGGATGGGTTAAGGAACAAAGGGCTGCAGTGCAGAGGTTAGTGGAAATATGCTGAGGGCAGAAATCAAACCTCAATGAGGTACCATTAAAACTAAAAAGCAGAGCCCTGACCAGGGAGCACAGCTGGTTAAAGCACTGTCCCCATACGCCAGATTTCGGGTTTGATCCCTGATCAGGGCACATACAAGAACTGACTAAGAATGTATAAATGAGTGGAACAACAAATTGATGTTTCTTTCTCCCCCGCCCCCACCTACCTCTCTGAAATCAATTTTTAAAAAAGGCAGAAAACAACCAATGCTGTTCATGTGAAGCTGCAGGAAAACTTGCTTAAGCATAACCCTCACGTGGCAGCTCCTCCTGGAACGCATCCTCATAGCACCCCTGCCCGAGGGACAGAGACGGGCGTGTTCACCTAGTGAGCTGCTCCTGGAAAATCCCCGGGGAGCGAGCCCGGCTGCCCAGGAGGCCTCAGCAGGGCCACTGACAGAACGCTGCCATCACTGCCACGCAGAGCCCGGCTAGTTCTCCCTCCAGCAGATTTTTTTTTTTAAATATATTTTATTGATTTTTCACAGAGAGGAAGGGAGAGAGATAAAGAGTCAGAAACATCGATCAGCCGCCTCCTGCACACCTCCCACTGGAGATGTGCCCGCAACCAAGGCACACGCCCCTTACCGGAATCGAACCCGGGACCCTCCAGTCCGCAGGCCGATGCTCTATCCACTGAGCCAAACCGGCTACGGCCCTCCAGCAGATTTGATAGGAGCATCAAAACTAGAAACGCAGGGTCTCGTCAAAGGTGGAATGAGCCTGGTAGGTTCGGGAACATCAGTCTCAGAAACCTGGCAGACCGGACTTACCACCCAAAGGGACATTTCAAGGTCGCCTGGGGTACCCCGCCCTTTTGAAACTAGGATTTCTAAACTGCAAAATGCACATGGTCTGTAAAATGCAATTAAAATGCTCCAATGTAATATACAATGACCAGAGAGTATCCCTTTACCCCAGCCACCACCTGGACCTGGGCTGCCACTCCATTTCTTCCGGAAATGGGCAGCACATGCCTGTGTCCCCACTAGTACAGAAATGTGGACACTTGCTGCCCTGTTTCACATCTTTTTTTTTCCCCTTGCATATGGAGTGGCACAAAGAACACTCATCTAACTTTGATTTTTCGGCTGCAAGATAATCATAACTTACTCAAATAGCCACTTATTAATGGATACTCTACTGCAGGGGTCCTCAAACTACGGCCCGCGGGCCACATGCAAATACAAATATTGTATTTGTTCCCGTTTTGTTTTTTTACTTCAAAATAAGATATGTGCAGTGTGCATAGGAATTTGTTCATAGTTTTTTTTTAAACTATAGTCTGGCCCTCCAACGGTCTGAGGACAGTGAACTGGCCCCGTTTAAAAAGTTTGAGGACCCCTGCTCTACTGGGTTGAATGTCCTCACAATGGCCATCCACCTGGAACCTCACATGAACTTATTTGGAAACAGGAACTTGGCAGATAGAACGTAAGATGAGGTCATAGTGGGTAGGGTGGGCCCTGTGTCCTCATAAGGACAGGGGAATCTGGACACACACACAGGAGGAGGTCAATAATGAAGGCAAGTGTCTACAAGCTGAGGGACACCAAGAATTGCCAGTAAATCACCAGGAGCCAGAGAAAATGGAACAGACGTTCTCTCCTAGTCCCGGAAGGAACCAGCCCTGCTGACACCTTGATCTTGGATTTCTGGTCTCCAGAACATGGGAGAGAATAAATCCCTGGCATTTAAGCTACCCAGTGTGTGTTACAGCAATCCCAGGAAACTCCCAGATACCTACTTTCTCAGTTTGCTCTGTGTTGTGCCCACAGTGAGCAATCATGTGTGACTTGCACACCCCCCGCCAGTCTCCAAGCCTGCCTTGCTCTGACCGTTAGCGGGGGTGGGGGGGTGAAGGGAAGGAGAGGCTACCCAGGTGCAGGTGGATGGGAGGTGCAGGGAACTGACCAGTGAGGGGCAGCACCAACATGCCCTTTTTGAAGAATTAAACACTTGGGAAAAGCCAAAACAAATCCCATCACCCAATCCAGAGAGGCCGTGCCTGGGGGTAGGGTGAGCACTCACCTGTAGAGAGGTGGCGGGAAGTCCTCTTCGAGGGCCCCCTGGGGGACATAGGACTGGGTGGCCTCCCGCCTCAGGGTCTGCATGTCTGCCTCTGGGTTCTTGGGTGCTCCTGCCTAGAAGGCCTGCGAGGCCATTGTTGCAGCAACAAAGACCATTCTCTGTGTCCTGGCAATGCGGATGGTAGCCTGGCTCCCATCCAGGCCACTCCCTCCTGCCCCAGCTGAGGGGTTGGCGGAAGGAGGTGGGGCCACACCTGGGCGGCGTGGGCCTCAGTGCTCCCTTCCTCCCCTCCCCACATGGCCACACGGGGTCTCTGAGCCGGAGAGCCTTCTGATGCTCAGGCCAGAACTGCCAGTCCCCACCCTCCCTCCTCACCCCACCCCATCCAGTCCTCAGGTTTCAAAATCCACCAGAGCAAACACCCGCGGACAAATGCTCACAGCAGCATGATTCACAACCAGCGAGTGGGAACAACCAAAATGCCCATCCACTCGGCACAATGTGGCCCACCCAGGCCCGCGGGAAGTAGTACTCAGCGTGAGAAGTGCTGCCGCAATGGGGAGGATCTTAAACACAGGAGCTCAGTGAGAGAAGCCAGACACAAGCCATAGTGTGTGATTCCGTTTATGGGAAATGTCCAGGACAGGCCCATCCAGAGACAGAGTGGGTTCATGGCTGCCGGGGGCGGAGGGGACTGAGTGGAGGTGTGGTTTTTGGGAGGGTGATGGAAATGTTCTGGAGTTGGAGGTGCTGTTTGCACAACATTATAAATACACCAAATGCCACGGAATGTTAAGTTTAAGAAGGTAAACATTAAGTTATGCATATTTTACCACAATTAAAAAATAATAAAATCCACAATCTCCCCGCTTTTCACCACCTCCACCGGGTCCAGGCCAGTCACATCATCACAGCCTGGCAGAGCCGCCTCTGTGGCCTCTCTGTGCCCCTGCGCCAGTGGTCACGTCTCCACATTCACCACCAGGCCCTGCAAGACCTGCCCAGGCCCCTCGCTGCCCTCACTTCCTCCCTCCCTCCCCTCCACTTGCTCACTCTGCTGTACCACAAGGGCTCCTCACTGCTCTCCACACTCCAGGAACTTTCCTCTCGGGGCCTTTACACAGGCTGTAAAGTCCTCTGCCCAGAGGCCTCCTGCTCTTGTCCGAACCCTTCCTTGCTCAAACATCAGCTTTGTAGCAAGTCCTGGATCCAAAGCTGTCCTTTCCTAAAGTCTCCTTCTTCCCTCACACAGCACACACCTCCCACTCACACCCAACAGAAGCCCCATGAGGGCAGGTCTTGGCGTCTGGTCTGTTTTGTTGTCCCCAGTGCCTAGGTCAGGGATCTGCCCCAGGAGGAAAAGGCCTGCAGGCTCTGCAGTCACAGGCAGCTGCAAGGTCCTGTCTCCGCCCTGGGCTCTTAGGGCCTCACCGCTGCACTGGCCTCTGCCTCACCCTTAACTCCCTTTTCCCCTTTCCCCAAAAAGCCACATTCAATAATCAAGGGTGCCTGACAGACTATGCCCCACCCACCCTTCAACTTTGCACAAGTGCAGACACTGGGTGGGCGATGCCCCCACTGCTGACTTCAGTCACGTCAGGTGGAGATGGCAGCAGGGCCTGCTCTGAGAGCTCCTGTGCAGCCTGCAGCCCCCAGTAGGCCCTCCCTCCCCTGCCTCCATCTCACTGCATGTGGAGACCACCCCCACCCCTCCAGCTGCAGGGACGGTGTGAATGCATGTCACCCTTATCCCTATTAGAACATGAAATCAGAGACACAGGCATCCCTCAGAGAGCGCACCCAGGGCAGGGTGCTCATCACCTGTTTGTGACGTTCAGGCTGGTCTGGGGCCTGGGTATGTGCAGACTGCAGCTGTCAGCCACCCCAGCCAGATGGACAGCCAGCCCAGCCGTGCATGAGCCCATACCTGGTATAATGACAGTGATACTCCACTAGACGACACAGGGCTACTCTGCAGCCCCAGGCCCGCAGGCCGGGGACACACATTCCTCTCTGTTGTCTCAACTCCCAGGCGCGGGTCCGACACAGAGCCAGCTCCTGGCTCTTCGGCAGCTACACAGGGTGAGCATGTGGTAGGGAAGGATTGTTTTCTCTTAAAAAAACACTCAAAAATAAGATGACCAATCGAAATACACAAATCTATGTACACTGTCCTTGCTTGAGGCTATGGCACACAGATGCTGGGATGGGGCAGGGTCCCACCCTTCCCCAAATCCAAGCAGGTTCAGCTGATCACCCCTCCTAAATGAAGGCTTTAAAAGCTGTGACTCCTGTCACCCCCAGGCAGGTTGGGTGGGCCATGCCCTTCTCTAATTAGCCTCAAACATTTCTGGGACCCATCTACAAAACACAAAACAATCCCAAAGAAAAGTCACAGATACATATATACACATGCACACACATGGCCGATTGCGGGGGGAACACTAAATGAGGGGGACCTAGAAGCAGAGCCAGAGTGACCTCCGCCCCCCCCCAGACCTGCTCTGCCTTCTCGCCACACCTGGTCCACCTCTCTCCCTCCAATTTCTCCAGGTCTGGAAGAGAGGTGGTACCCAGCTTGGCCAGAGGACAACAGGGTGGGGGCAGGATCAGAGGACACCTGGAAAGCTTCTGGGGGACCAGTGGTTGCCCCCTCCTCTCGCTCTCCTCCCTGGCTTCCCCATGGTCATAGGCATGGTTGGACAGGACACATGGGATAGCTTGATGGGGAAGGAACCTGGGAGGAGGGCGAGGCACCCTTAGGCCACCTAGATCTGTACACCCAGCAAGCCGCAGGAACCGTAGTCCCGCTGGTGACAGAGCTCAGCTGTGTCCCCGTCAGTGACAAGGACAGTGCAGGGTCAGGGCAAGCTCATGATGACAAGTGGACCCAACTTCCGTTTTCCTGGAACAAGTCCATCTCGAGATGACCTCCTCTGGTGCACAGCCTGCCTGGGCCTGCTCCTGATGCCTGGCCCCTAGCAAAGTCACCGGGATAGCTGCCAGCAAAGGGACAGCAGACGTGGCCGCAAGAGACCTATCAGGAGTCCTGTGGATCCACGGGCTGACCTGAACCGTCCTGCTGCTGGGCCCTCCCCTGGCTGACTGGCTTGGCATCCAGCTGTTACTCCCGTCGCAGACGTGGGCAGTGGCAATACTGGTGAACCCATGCTTCTGGGAAGAGCATGCAGCTCAACAAAGTGACGATGGACATAAAGGGAAGCAGGTGGGGTCCAGGGAGGCGTCCATCCCCATCCGAGTGTAGACGGTCAAAGCTGGGGCCTTGGGGCCACCTGGTGTGAAGGGAGCCGGAACCCTGCGTGCCTGCTGGTGCCCAACCACATCCCCACCCCAAACACCGCTGACAGGGTTCGCAATCAGGCTTTAATGAGAATCTTCAGGGTCTCTCTGGGCCCGGCTCCCCGCCCACCCCAGCTGCTTCCTCTGGGAACATGTGCAGGAGGGAGGGTCATGCACGTGATGACAGGTGGTGCTCCTCTGCCCTGATGGCTGGGCCCGTGGTTTACCGGATCCTGGTGAAGAGGTTGAGGACAGACACAGATTCCTGCAGGGCACACAGGAGAGAAAGCTGAGCCCGCGCAGCTGGACGGGAACAGGCTTCGGACCAGAGGAGGAGCATGAGTAGGCACCATTGTTTCCTGGCACCCTGGCTGGGGGTGCAGAGCAATGCAGGAGCAGTTAGAGGGGATGCAGGCAGTCCCGGGGGAGGTGACAGCAGCGTCTGAACAGGGCTGCTCAGATGGCAGTGGGGGACGGCCCCCAGGATAGGCTGAGGGGATGCGCATGGGGGAACACCTGGCGCTGATACCGACCCACTTTACCTTTGTCGAACGAGTTTTGCTAAAGACATTCCAGAACCTCAGGGTTTCGTCTCCAGCACCAGTGACGATGGCCTCTCCATCAGGGGACATGGCCTGCAGGAGGAGAGACCCTCACTGTTCTCGGGCCTTGCAGCTGGTCCCATGAATGGAGTCAATGATGGAGGACTGGTGCAGGGGGGCCGGGCCCCCACCAAAGCCGAAAACACAGGATGCCCCAGCCTCTACTCTATCTACTCTGTGCACTTGAGCAAAGGATCTGACAGTTTAAGCACAGAATACTTCTTCTGGAAAGAAAGAAAAACACTTGAGGAGGGATGGAGAGGGCCTGTCCTCAGGCCCGTGCAAACAGGTATCTGATGAACTGTCCTCAGATATTTTCTAAGGAGTTGGATGGGGGGTTAATTGTGTTTTATCATAAAGATAAACTAATGTGGGGAGATTGTCAGGAGGGCACAGCTGCCCTTCCTCACAGAGCTGGAGAGTTCAAGAAAGTAGATTCAAAGTGATGACACAATTAACGTTTGAAAGCAGAACATGGGAGCTGGCCTGGCTGACCCACCCCACCCCACAGGCCCAGGTGGGGGAGACTACCAGCTGGATCTGCACCCGGCCTTCCCAGGGGCCCAGTGCTGGGACCGGGACCCGCCAGTGCAGACTCACCAGGTACAGAACTCGGTAGGAGTGCCCGGTCAACTTGGCCACCTGGGTCAGGGACGGGTACTTCCAGACCAGGATCTGGTTCTGTGAGTAGCCATGTGTGCTAACCTGTGGAATGTAGAAGGCACTGTCAGAACCTGGGCTCCCCTCTCACGACCCCAGGGCTCAGATGCAAGCTGTCCACTCCCCCTGATGCACCCACTGAACAGCAAGGACACCTGGGACCTGCCCAGCCCCTTACCCCCAAACTCTGGTTGATGCCGAAGGTGACAGGGAGCTACACTATACCCAGAGCTCAGCCAGCCTCTGCTGGTGGTCAGCAGCACGGGCACCCAGATTAGGGGCAGGTACTTCCAGATTGACCTGGGTGGCAGGGTCCTGGCTTCACCCTAGGACCCCAGGGAAGGCCTTGCTGGGGCCCAGGGCTCCTGCTCCAGAACCTTCCCGTGCACACACAGAGGCCCTGCCATGGCACTCACCAGCTCATTGGCGTGCTTGGACCAGGCCAGGTTGCACACCTGGGAGCCTGTGTCGATGCACTGCAGTGGCTGCCCTGTGAGCGTGTTCCAGAAGCGGATGCAGCGGTCGGCTGTGCCACCGCCGGATGCCAACAGCCCATGCTGATGTGGGGACCAGGCTATGGCTTTCACGGCTGCCAGGTGCTCTGTGTACTGCTGCACGGGACTCAAACTCGAGTGGTTCCAGACCAGCAGCTGGGAGGGTGGGGATGGGGATCGGCAGCAGCTGTGAGGCCCTCCACTGGCTGTGGCCCCTAGGCAAGCCCTCCAGGGGAGGATGAATGGCTCCCTCAAACCCATCATGGTCCTCCCTCGGGGCACACCCTTGTCACTCCTGCTGTATGGATGAGGGCTGGCAGAGTGGATAGGATATTCCCGAGGCCGGACAATGAGGGGCCCAGGGCATCTACCTTGTTGTCATTGCCTCCTGAGGCAAGGAGCTGGTGGTCCGTGGACCACTTGAGCCCACACACCTCCTGCCGGTGGCCCTGCAACCGCCGCTCCGACTGCAGGGGCGGGGTGCGGATGTCCCTTTGCAGGATCATGCGATCCCGGCTCCCAGATGAGAGCTGGTCGGCATTCCAGGCCAGCGCTCCTGGAGACCAGACAGAAGGCTGGGTGAGGCCGAGGCCTGGCCTCTCAGAAACAGGATGCGCTGGGAATCGTCACTTCCTTGTGCCTAGAATCACTCCCACCCATTGGGATGACACCCCATCAGGACCCTGGGCTCCTCACCAACTCGAGCTGTGTGGCCTTCCAGCATGGAGAGCTTCTTCCCCGCAGCTGCGTCCCAGATCTGCACAAAGCCCTTGTGCGTGCCGACGGCCACCAGGTTCCCCTAGGACCAGGACCCGGGGAGAGCAGGCATCAGGCCCAGCCTCCCTGGGCCTCCCTTCCCCGCTCCTCACATGTCCCTTCTGATCCAGTGACACCCACCTTGTCCTGGAACTTACTGGGGAGATGATTACACAACACATGGGTTTGTCAAAATCAGCCAACGCACATGTAAGACCCATGCACTTCAATGCATGAACTTGCCTGCCTGAGCCTGGCCTGCCCCTGGCTGGGGTGAAGGCTGGGGCTCTAAAGGGACTGCACTCAACTCTATGTCTGTGGGGGGACCTGCCAGCAGCCCTGTCACTGTCACAGTCTCTGCCGGGCTGGGAACAGGCGGGATGCAGGCATCACTCTGGGGCCCCCAGGCCCCCAAACACTGCCGAGGACCCTTGCCAGCAAGGCCCAGTCAGACCTCCCCTGCCCAGCCCAGGAATGAACCCTGTATACTAACCCGCTCAGACCAGCCCACAGAAGTCACCGAGTCCCCTTCCACAGAGAGGTCACAGAGCCGGGTCACCTGGGGGAAGGAGGGAGCGGTCGATGTGAGCTGACGTGCTGCCCGCTGATCCTTCAAGGCCCCCTGTCCATTTGTTCATGCATCCATCTGTTTATTCATTCAGTCACACCTCAGGCCTATGGGCACTGGTGTTAATGCTGGGACCTGATATAATGATGCTGGGGTGCCCAGGAGACTGCAGGCTGCAAGGGGACACATGCAGCACAGGGATGAGTGACTGGAAAGTCTGGGGAGGAATGCTGGGGAGGTGACGAGGGCATCACACACGTTGGGTGCTTTCAACAGGTGGCAGCCCTCTCTAGGGGGCATCACCACTTGCATTAATCTCTGAAAACGTCCCACCCTGGCAGGCGTGTCTGAGCCCATGGTGGGCCTAGCAGCAGCTCAGAGTTAGTGCTGAGGGTGGGGTGGGCACCCCCAGGCTCAGCCAGGCCTGAACACCCATCTCCCCTCCTCTGCAGACACAGGCAGAGGCAGAACTCAGGTAGAGAGCAAGGACTACCAGTCATTACAGGAGACAGCCCACAGCAGAAGGGCCTCCCCTCATACCTGCTGACTATTCCCGAGTTCCAGTCTGTACGTGGAGGGTGGGCTCAGATGTGAGAGGTTGGCCAGGTGCTGCCCCAGGCTCTGGAGCACCCAGCCACACTTAACCTTCACATGGGCCAGCCCGACTCAATGACTAGAGGAAGCCACCCCACACCCCTGAAGCACACACACACACAAGCACTTGCACACACACTTATGGGCACCGGAGCACCCACCTGGCTGGTGCAGGCGCTCCACAGGTACACGCAGGTGCCCAGCCCCACACTGAGCACATTGAGAGATGACCAGTCCACCAGGTTCAGGTAGAAGTCGTCCTGCAACTCAGGTGCATCCAGAACCTTGAAGGGGATCTTGGAGATCTTGCGGGTGGGTTTTCGTGGGGATCGCAATAACTTCTGACTGTGGGGAGAGCCCGAGACTGTGATTTTCTGTCAATCAGCCATGTGGTTATCATTACTCTTCGGCTAATGTTACTACCCCTGGTTCACATTAGTTCTTGGCATATCTTCTCCCACTCACCTTGCCCCTCTGCATGCATGATCCCCAAACGGTGGGTGACCCCATGGACACAAGGCCCTTTGCCCTTGGGTGTTTGGCCACCCCAAGACTTGATCAACAGCCACACCATCCTCTCTACTTGGCACCTCCTCCAGAGAGCCCTCCCTGACTCCCCTCTCCCCCCGTCTGGACCCAAAACCTTCAGGCTGACAGTGTGCCCCAGGGAGGGGTCCTAAGACTAACTGCAGCTCCCATGTACCGCCCAGCTGCTCACCTGCCCTGTCCCCGCCCTCAAAGACCCCGAACTCACCTTTTGTTACTGACTGGTGACAAGGAGTAGGGAGACACATCATTTCCGTCATCAGGGCTCGAGCGCTTGGTACTGAGGGAATACTGGAGGGAGCGTGGACACATACCTACTGAGTGGACACTGTGGTCCCAGAGCTCAGGAACCTCAGACCCAAAGCTTGGGTGCCCTGAGCTTCTGGTGGTTGGGGGGAAGAGTGAGGGTGCTACTCGCCCTAACCAGGAAGACCTCTAACTAGGGGTGTCCTGGGTTCCAGAAACTCAGAAAAGCAAACCAGGATCCCGCTCGGTGTGACTGCCAGCATGCTCCTGCCCGCTCACAGCCATCAGCCCCTCAGCCATCCTGAGGGACTAGAAGTCAGGCTCTTTCTAACACTACCAGGGGCCCCCATGACCCAGGATGACTTAGACATGCTCTTTGGGGTGGCTCTGCTGAGGCCACTGTCCCTTCACCCTGCACCTGAGCACCTGCCCCAGAGTTACCTCTGTCTCAGCAGATGCCCAGGAGGGCTACAGGGCAAGCCTCGGGGGCCTGGCCCTACCTTCTCCCACCCTCTCTGGGGTTCAAGGCCCCCAGCAGGGCTGGTGTGTGTGGGGGAGGAGGAGGAACCTAGGGAGGCTGAGACTGGTCTCCTGGAGGAGCCTCCACACAGCACAGGAGGCCAGGGATGAGGGCTGAGCCTGGATCAGTCATGGAGGAGAGGGACCTCTAGCCCCAGCAGGAAGCATCGGTCAGTGTGGGCATGGCTGGCAGGCTCACCGTGAACAGGCCCTTCTTCTCGGGCGTGGAAGGCTGCAGCCTGCGGTCCTCCGTCTGTGGGTCCTGCACCTTCTCAATGCCGGCCCCTAGCAGCTCATTCTTCAGCAGGGCTGAGTAGGCCAGGCCATCTGCAGGCACCAAACACAATGAGAGGCTGGGGTGGGACCAGGTGAGGGGGTGAAAGAAAGAGGGTGTCTGTGGCCCTGACTCCTGACCTTTGCCATTGTCCGAGGTGGCATCCTTGGCTTTCCGGTTCTGGCTGGGAGACTTCTCATTTTCCTGCGGGAGAGGGAAGGAGCAAGAGGAAGGGGGGGTGAGCCAGAATGGCGTGGCCCTGCCCCAGGCTTCTTGCCTGACCCTCCCACTGGGGGGGTCCTCTGTCCTCACATTGATCCTGTGGAAATTGACACTCCAGTTGGCGCCCGCTCTCGAGGGGATGAAGCGGTCCCCATGCTTGCTGGGGGAGGACACGGGGGAGTTGGTAGGTGTCAAGGTCCGCCGCATCTCTGAGACCTAAAAGGATGGCAGGGTGGGGCTGGGTGCCTCAGAGCCACAGCCTGACCCACCTACCCTGCCTGCTGCCTTCGGTCTCTAGCCACTGACCGAGGGGTTCAATCTTGGAAACCCAACGGGCAGAGGTAAAACATTTGGGTACATAACTCATATGCTGGACCTGCTGGCAGCTCTGTGAGGCAAAAAGAGGCCAAGGAGCAATAGAGCCCAAGACATTAGCACACTACAAGATGGCTTTATATTTCTAAGCAGCCACAGGACCAGAAAGTTGAAAGTTTATTCCCTGAGCACTGAGAACCTGTTGCCCCGCCGCCTCGATTTCCTGCACACGGGACGGATCTTCTCCCAGAGAACAACAACCCCACCACCCGAACCGACTTGATTATCTGGCGAACGTCCTTATCTATAAGCCATCTGCTGTGGGTTGAACTGTGTCCTCCAAAAGCATATGTTGAAGTCCTAGGCTCTAAAATGAATGCCTGGTATCCTTATTAGAGTCAGAGATACCGACACAGAAAAGAAGGGAACATGAAAACGAGGCAGAGACTGAAGTGATGGATCTAAAAGCCAAGGACTGCCGGCAAAACCAGAAGGACCTTCCCCAGACCCCTTAGCCCGGTCACCCCTGCCCCATAGGCTCCTGGGTCCCAGTACCCTGACCCCCTCCCACATCAGCCTGGCCAACCCAGGCCAACTCTCCTGCACAGACTGTGGGGCCAGGGCTGAACCCCAGCTTTGTGTTGCTGGGCCCTTCACTGACTGGGAAGGTGGCTCACATTCCCTCATCCCCCAGTCAGTCCTGACTACGGCCCAAGAGAAGAGCTGGTGCCCTCTGCAGGCCAGGAGGCAGAGGCCTGTAAAGAATAAGGGGCCTCCAGCAGGAGGAGGGGAGGTGCACTGCAGCTCTGGTGGCTGTGGTGCCGTCATGGGGGAGTTCTGGGGGAGGAGTGTTTTCACCTGCACAGCACCTCCCTCTTTTGCTGAGGGCAGAAGCCCTGTGGCCAACCACACCCCTCACCCCATCTCCCCACAGCTCCACCGGGCCAGGCCAGCACTGGCAGGGTGACCACTGGCTACTCACACACGGCATTGTATTCTCGTTCTGGATGACAATCTGCCGAAGGAGGCGCCGCTCATAGTCCTGGTCCATGGTGGGGCAGGGCAGGTACGGCTGCCGGCCAAGTCAGGCCACCAAGTTCAGCCAGCCAAAGTCAGCCTGGGGCAGGAAGGGCAGGACAGCTCAGCACCAGTGGGCAGCAGCCCTCACCACCACCCGGTGACCACAGAACCCCTTTCAGGAATGCCCTACCATATGGCAGGTCCTCCCTCCCAGGAGCCCAGAGCTCAGGCGTGGCCATACCCCAGAGGCCTTGGAAGGCACAGGGAGATACAACCTGGACAAACAGGACTCCTCTCTGCTTCCTCTGCGGGACCTTCTGACAGGACCCTTCACTTTTGTCCTGGTTAGGGCAAGGCTGCCCCTATCCCTGACCCCCAAGGGCTTACCCCAAGTCCCCCGCTCCTCCAACTCAGACCTCCATCTCATTGCCTTACTTCAGACCCTCTGAGACCATGTGCCATCCAAGGAACCATTTCCCTGGCTCCTTGGCCCCTGTCCCCAAGAAGGAGGCATGGGGCTGGGCATGGGTTGGGGCTGTACCAGGGAGGGTCAATACACTCCCCAGGAGTCTGCCAGAACTGACTGGGCCCCAGGCCCTATGCAGGCACTTGAGCCCCAGGGCCAGGCAGACCAGGTTGTGACCCAGGGAAATTGGCCTCCAGCTTCTACCCAGCTCCCACTGAACTCCAACCAATCTGGGGAGGCCTCTCGGAGGAAGCGGAGTGAGAGATCGCCAGCAAAAGGAGGCTGGAGGACAATACTCCACAGAGGGGAGAGCAGATCTGAGGAAGAAAGGGCTCTGGGCGTTCCAGGATGGGGCAGAAGTGAGTGGCAGCCTCAGAAAGAAGGGCTGTTCTTTATGGCAGGCGTGGCAAACTGGGACCCAGGGACAAACCAGACCCACAGCCATACTCTGGCTGCTTTCAGAGAAAACGTTTGCCAGTCCTGCCTCCCTTCAAGGCACTGCAGAGCATGGAGGGTAATGCAGGTTTCCAGGACAGAGCCTGACACAGACGGGGTTCAGCAGACTGAAGCTTCCTGCGGTGGGCCTGCCCTGGGCCCCAGAACTCTGGCAGCCGCTGTCCCTCTACTCCTCTGGCCGGAGCCCCAAGGCCCACACAGTGAGATATGTAGGCAGGTCGGCCTCAGCTCTATTCTCAAAACCCCGAACGGCCTCTCTGATGAATCCCTGGGCCCATCACAGAGACCACGCACACTGTGTGGGGGCAGCACCAGCTCTAGCCTGCCAGGTGCTTGTCCCTCACATGTCGTCACTGCACACACGGGAAGGCCTTCATGTGGCCCAGTCCCGAAGCCAGTTGCTTGGTCAAAACGCAGGACACAGCCACTGGTTCCCAGTGTGTTCCCGCCACCTTCCACATTAGCGAGCTTGCATGTTTTACCTCATGCTCCCCCCCCCACAGCAGCATGAACTAGGTGCCCACACCCTCATGCAGATGAGGATGTGAAGACTGAGCGAGGGGCAGCAACACCCCCAGTGTGCCCATGGCCCTCCCTCCACACCCTGGGGCTCCCGTGAGCCTGTGCTAGCTTGGAGCCCCAAGCCCCACTGTCCCCACCTCAGTAGACCAGCTTTGATGAGAAAAGCAGGACCGCAGCACCTCAGCACCCCTCAATCTTGGGTAAACCTCTGGAAGCCGCCATCCCTTCTTGGCTACATCCTTCCTGCTCCCCCCACCTCCCCTGCAGTAACAGAGGTCCCCAGACACATTTTGGTCCATTGTAGCCACAGGACAGTCTCCTGAAGGGACTGATGATGGCTTCCGGCCTTCCTTACCTCTCTGGGGACTGGGGCCACGTCCTCCACCTCCTCCGACTTCCTGCCAGCCTAGCCTGGCCCTGCCTAGCTCACAGTCCACCCATTGGCTTGCCCCAGAATGTACCTGCGCCTCCCTTCCTCCTCCAGATTCTCCCCAAAGCCCAGGCCTTGCCCCACAACACCCCTCCCCACTCACATGTGCCCTCATCACATCTGAGCACTCCTGTGGCAGCACAGCTGTGCTTGGGACACAGAGAGGTCTGTGCCTGCCTGAGAGTCTGTCCCAGGTGGAGACTGCTGTTCAAAAGGTCAGTTTCCCAAGGGTGGGCCCAAATCATCTCGACCACTGCACCAGGCTGCATGCAAACAGAACTGAGCTCCAGGCCCACCTTGACCGAGCATCCTGTGAGTGGGGTTGACAGGGGCTAGACACAAAAGGAGTAGCCATGGCTCCATTCTAGTAGTTCCAACAGTCAGTGGGCACTTTCCCAGATGTGGACCAGTTGGCTGTACCCACCACTTTGCAGACAAGAAAAAAAAAAAAGCTCAGAGAGGCTGGCTAACTTCCCCCACTGGCCCTGCCTGGGCCTCATTTGCCACCCACCAGTGAACTCTCAGGAGATAAGGTGGATGGAGGCTATGTCTTGGTCCCTGTGCTTAGCAGTTGCCCCTCCCCATGGCTTCCCAACATACTGTTGCTGAAAGTGAACTATTCCAGACAAAGTCAGCAGCTCACTCTCCCCAGGAAAAAACCCTAGGGGCCTCATATCGGGGACGGGTCACGCTATGGGTGGAGTCATCTAAACCTCTTGGCCGAGATGAATTCACTTCCCCTGGAGACCACCTCCATTCACAGATCAATGGCACCACGTTGAGGCCGGCAGGGCTAGTCTGTTTCAGGATAGCAGGCCCCCAACAATAGCTTAGATGCACTCTGCACATCAGAAATTAAGCAGAGCCCAGAATGCTGCAGTCATCTCCGAGACAGAGTGAAAGACAGGCTTCCCAGGACGAGTGAAGAGGCGAAGTGCCATCCAGCGGGTGGTGTGCTGAATTTCAGTCCAGAAGGAATGTCCAGAGTGGCACACCCTCCTGTCATCAGCAGATCAGTTGCCCCTGTCTGCCCACTTACACTCTGGTATGGCCACTTACAGAAGCCCGTACAGTGGGCAGCATCTCACCATTTAGATGTGGCTCCTGAGGGCCAGAGAGGTTCCAGACTGCCCACATGTGTAGGGCCCTAGTCCCCAGACCCGTGGACATGTCACCTCACGTGGCAAAAGGAATTTTGCAGATAAAATTAAGTCAAGGCCCCTGATATAGGGGATGATCCTAGACTCCCCAGAGGGCACAGTGTCAACATAGAGTCCTTATAAGAGAGAGGCATCAGGGCAGAGTGAATGATGAAAGAGGCTGTGCTGCTGGCTGTGAAGGTGGAGGAAGGGGCCGAGAGCCCAGGATATGGTGCCTCTAGGAGCTGGAAAAGGCCAGAAATGATTTTCTGTTGGAGCCTCATGAAGGACCAGCCCTGCCCACACCTGAGTTTAGTCCCGTGTTGGACTTCTGATATCCAGAACTATAAGATAATTTTGTGGGTTTTCAGGTCTTTTTTTGTTTTTTAATTTTCATTTTTGCTAATCCTCCCTCGAGGATATTTTTCCATTGCTTTTTAGAGAGAGTGGAAGGGAAGGGGAGAGACACAAAGAGAGAAACTTCGATGTGAGACAGACACATCCAGTGGCTGCCTCCTGCACTAGTCCCAACCAGGAACGGGGATTGAGCCTGCAACCAAAGTACATGCCCTTGACAGGAATCAAACCTGGGACCCTTCAGTCCATGGGCCAACGCTATTCACTGAGACAAACCAGCTAGGGCCATTTCTGTTGTTTTAAGCCACCAAGTTTGTGGTGACTTGTTATAGCAGCTGCAGGACACACACTAGGGCAGGGCAGAGAAGGCAGTGACCATGCTGCGGCCTTCTGTCATGGATCCTTCTAGGGGTGGCTGCTGAGAGGGTTCCTAAGGTGCTTGTGTTGAACACAGTCCTTTTCTCTGCCCAGTCCCATGTGGCCCACTGTGGATAGCCAACCAATCCTTCTGTCTCCATCATCCCCTCTCTCCATAACCCCACTCCCCACCCCCCTGAGTTCCAAGATCCCTTAGTCTTCCGGAGAGGCAGTGGGTCTTCATTCTGCCAAGAGGGACATTTGCTGACTGTCTGCCCAGAGGCCTGAGGCAGGTGCCAGGGTTAAGCAGGCAAGGAGACAGACATGGTCCCACCCTCCTGAGCTTCTTTTACTAGTATATCAGAAGCAGCAAACCAGAAACAGGGAACTAGGTGAAGAACAATTTTGGGTGGTAGTACCTGGTACCAGGAAGCACATTCTAAAAGTGGCTCCAACATTCAGCTGTCAAAGTAAAGGCAAGTTGGAGGGAGTGGAGGGGGCACTGGATCCCAGCACCCAGCCTGGGATGTCTTTCCAAGACCAAGTACCCACAGAGGGACCCATGGGATGCCAGCACGGTGGAAGGGCTCCAGAACTAACTCGTCCCAGGCTCTGACCTGGTAAATGCAGGTTAACATCCCCAATGGGGTGAGCCTTCCTGCTGGCCAGCAGGGATGTCGCTCTTGTTTCTAAATTGACCTGCTACCTTCAGAAGCACCCCCCCACACACTCACATATCAGATTTTCTCAATGAGGAGGTGGAGGTAGACAGACAAGATGGGTACATGTGGGGAAGCATGGGACTTGGTTGGAAAGTCTAAGGATTCTCTGAAAGGTCAAAGGTCTCTGGGGGACCTTGCCAAAGGTGGCACACACTGCCTTGACTTTTCCAAACAAGTCTGAGCCTCCAGGTGTTTACTTAGACACGTCCTTGCTTAAAAGACACTACAGACACATGTGTCTCCTCAAGGATGCTTACCCTGCTGATAGCATCTAATAGTTAATTTTAGTACAAGCTGTTGTTACAATAAAAGCCTAAGGAGGCAGGCAATCAAGGCTGTTTTTGGCTCCTTATGCCAACCAGTCCCTTAGCCTCTCTTCCACAGAAGCATGTGTCAGAGTAATCACTCATCTGTCATTCAGGGTCTGTTGGTCAGTCCTGGCAGGCACAGACCAAGATCTCAAGAGAGTGATAACTAGCAGGTCCAGTCAGGCACAAATGCACACCCAAACCACGTGACCTGGGAAATACAACACACAACCAGGCCTGCCCACCAGCCCAGAGACCCTGTTCCAGCCTGACCTCGGAACTAAGGCCTGGAGCTCGGCCAGTGTGCAGACTGGCTCATTCCAGAAAGCTGAAGGCCACCTCAGTCCAAGGACTGGGACCTCAGGGGACACCGAACTTCAGCTTGGGGACCCTCCTCCAAAATTGCTGCTTGCTGCACCACAGAAGGGCAAAGACTCCCAAGCTGTAAGAGAAAAGTCTGGTCAATTCATCACCAGAGAAATGAAAAGTGTCTGCAAGGCAAACACACCATGTTTTAAAAAGAGACAACTAGGGCCCTGACCGGTGTGGCTCAGTGGGTTGGGTGTCATCCCATGCACCAAAAGGTTTGCTGGTTCAAATCCTGTCCAGGGCACATGCCGGGGTTGCGGGCTCAACTCCCAGGATGGACTGCAGGAGGCAGCCGATGACGGTTCCCTCTCACCTTGATGTTTTCTCACTCACTCTCCCTTTTATTCCTCTCTCTCTAAAAATCAATTAAAAAAAGACAACTAGAAAAAAATCTGCTACCCTGAAGACAGACCAAAGGGGCACAGGACATGAATAACTGTTCCTGGAAAAAGCACTCGTCCTCACTCACAGTTGGAGAAGGCGGTTCCCACTTCCCTGCCCTGAGTGATTCTGAGATTAGGTGACACGCCCTTGCCACGGATACATAGGGATTGCTCGCCTGCACTGCTGGCAGTAGCTGAAACTAGTACGACTTCTAAGAAAGGCAGCTTGGAAGGCAGTTTGGCAACTGCTTGCAAAATCTAAAAAAGCACATCCTTTTTGATGCAGTGTTTCTACTTCTAAGAATTTGCCCTTAGCAACTCTGGGCGTGTGCGTGCAAAACCTCGTGTACAGAGCTGTTCTGTACAGACGGCTTATGAGAGCAGAGACCATGGGGAGTGACCCGAGGGCTACCTTAAGGGCAGGGCTTCTTCCCCACCAGGAGACACTGAAGTAAAAGGCAGGCCTGAAGGTCTTGGGGACCCGCTGCCTGTGAGAACAGCATTGTGGGGATGAGCAATTTCTGCAAGGCTGGAGAACAAGGTTGTAGCAGAGGTTGCTCTTGGGGAATGGAACTAGGGCAGTGGTTCTCAACCTTCTGGTCCTTTAAATACAGTTCCTCATGTTGTGACCCAACCATAAAAGTATTTTCGTTGCTACCTCATAACTGTGATGTGGCTACTGTTATGAATCGTAATGTAAATATCTGATATGCAGGATGGTCTTAGGCGACCCCTGTGAAAGGGTCGTTCGACCGCCACAGGGGTCGCGACCCACAGGTTGAGAACCGCTGGACTAGAGGCTGGGGGTCAGGAGAAAGGAAGCCTTGCTCCCCCTGGCTCATCATTTGGTGCTTCTTGAAATCAGTGAAAGGGAACATGTTAGCTATTCAAAGAAATAAGCCAGCTGGGAAGAGGTTGAACTACATAAGTCCAGGGCCCGACTGGAAGTCTCAGAGGTAGGAGCAGCGCTGGCTGCACCAGAACATGTGCTGCCTTTGCTCTATGAATGTTAGAGAAAGTAATGAGTTCTCTGTTAACAAGTAGTCACTTAGCACAGACAATCTGTAAGGCCTTGTGATTGGGGAAGGGGGGGTGGTAAGGATGGGGCCAGTGGCAGTGCCAGAACTCTGGCCCTGGAGAGGTACCTGCCCTGCTGCCCTGAAGGGTGCCAACTGTAGGCTGGTGTCCCTGGTCTGGTGAGGTGGCCAAAGCCCTGGCTGCTTGGCTTCCTACTATTACTATTCCCTCTGCAGGGTACTGTCATTAGGGGTCTCACTCACCCACCAAGCCAGCCCTAAAGAGGAGGGTCTCCTTTTCCCTGGGTCCCCCAGAATGAAGAATCAGGAGGCCTACCTTCTGCCGCTGCCTCAGACAAGCCTCAACCTGCTCCTCTGGAAAAGGGGCACAACCCCAGTCACCTAAAAGGGCAGAAATGAGGTCCCCACATGGCTAGGGCTACATGTCAGGGATTCTTGACAACCCGGGGGGCTGTCTTCCCGGGCAATCCGAATGTGCATGCTTTCCAGTCAACAGGTAGCAATGGAGCAGGGCCCTTGTTTTCAACCACCTGCCCAGTGGCCTGCTGCACCTCCTGAGGGGGCTGTCCCTGCCACTCCTGGCTACCCGAACCTCACCGTTCCTATAGGGTACACATGGTTCCCACTCACCAGGTACTTAGGGAAAACAGGTTGCTCTAACCTGTTTAAATCAGTAGTTCTCACTGGAGTGACTGCCCCCACGGGACACTGTGGTCTCATGACAGGGATGCTCCTCAACCCCCTCACAGTGCCCAGGATGGTCCCCACAGGGAATGACCCAGCCCATGTCATAAGTGCCCAGACACCTGGTATAGGGCCAGACCATGGAGTGCTACCTGCTGAGTGAGACAGTGGTGCTTGTGTGGGCTAGCCCTGGAGTTAGCAGGGCTAGAGGGGACTGAAGACAATCCTGTGCCAACACCTGCGAGTCCTTTTTCCAGCTGAAGTCAGTGATAGGCGGAGTCCCACGTGAGGAACAATAAGGGAGGCGAGCTTTAACTCTACCAAGTCACCCCCTGGCCTCCCCTCCTCACAAATGAGAAAATCAGGCGGAAGAGCCTGTCTGGGCACGACCCAATCATACAGCATGCAGCACTCATGATCATCTTAGCCCAGTGATGGCGAACCTTTCGAGCTCGGCGTGTCAGCATTTTGAAAAACCCTAACTTAACTCTGGTGCCGTGTCACATATAGAAATTTTTTGATATTTGCAACCATAGTAAAACAAAGACTAGTATTTTTGATATTTATTTTATATATTTAAATGCCATTTAACAAAATCAACCAAAAAAATGAGTTCGTGTGTCACCTCTGACACGCGTGTCATAGGTTCGCCATCACTGTCTTAGAGGCTTCCTCAAGAAGGGACATGCCGCCGAAACCGGTTTGGCTCAGTGGATAGAACGTCGGCCTGCGGACTGAAGGGTCCCAGGTTCGATTCCGGTCAGGGGCATGTACCTGGGTTGCGGGCACATCCCCAGTAGGAGATGTGCAGGAGGCAGCTGATTGATGTTTCTCTCTCATCGATGTTTCTAGCTCTCTATCTCTCTCCCTTCCTCTCTGTAAAAAATCAATAAAAAATATATTTAAAAAAAAAAAGAAGGGACATGCCGTGTTGTAGGTACACAGGGCCTCCTGTATGGCCTGGATACAGGCTGGGCACACATCCTATGAGTTCACAGCAGGCCCAAGGCCCCCAGGATCAGAGCACTCTGCTTCCTGAAGCCAAGTTTCAAGGCCTTCAAGATCTTGCTTATCTCGAAAAATTGGTCCTCACTGTTTTTTATATTTTGTAAGGCTCTTTAAAGAGCCAAAAGAAGACATTCCTATGACACATCTTGCATGACTCAGTATTTTTAAAATATATTTTTATTTATTTCAGAGAGAAGGAGGGAGAGGGAGAGAGAAAAAGAAACATCAATGATGAGAGAGAATCATTGACTGGCTATCTCCTGCTCGTTCCCCACCAGGGATCGAACCCGCAACCTGGGCATGTGCCCTGATCGGGAATTGAACCATAATCCCCTGGTTCATGGGTTGACACTCAACCACTGAGCCACACCAGCCGGGCCATGACTCAGTGTTTTGAGGCTAACTGTGGTCTGGGTGTGCTACCTATGAGATGGGTTACACCATCGGCACTGCTGATCCTGGGATCCAGTCATTCTCTGTGGGGGGTAACCTGGGCACTATGGTGGATTGAATAGCATCCCTGTCCCCACCCCTCAATGCCAGAAACAACTGTGACAACCACAAATGCCCCAGCCATCGACAGTGTCCACTGAGGGCAGAATCACCCCCAGGTGAGGGTGGGGCGATCGTCCCTTGGAGAAGCTGCACCAGCCAATAGTGAGAGGTGTCAAGTGGCACCTGCTATGCACGAGGGATATGGAGAAGGAGAGTGAGGAAAGCCTCTAGCAGGAGCCTGTGATCACCTGCCTGGACATGTCCTATGCAGGCAGCAGGGTCCTGGATGAACGGACACTGCTCCTGGCCCCGTGAGGAGATCATCAGAACATGGTGGCAAACTCCACCTGCACCCCTCATGAGCCAACACAGCTCGAAGCACTCTACATGCTCTATTTAATTTTGTCCCCAGGGACGACCCATCTCTCCATTTCACAAACTAAGGAACTCAGGGCCCTGGCAGTTGGTGGGTGGTGGAGCTGGGACTGGAACGCCACCTGCTATGACCGCTCAGGTCACAGTGTTCCCATGGGTGAGGGTCCCAGGCTCAGTATGGAGCGAGCCAGCAGTCTAAAGCTGAAAGGACTTCCCTGGATTACATCACACGTGAATCTCTCCCAAGCACTTCCTGCAGGAATCATCCAATTAGGGGTCATGATGACAAATGAATGGGGGCTCCCTGGGAACTGTCATCTTGGGGCACAGACTTTCACAGGCCCTAAATCTCCAGAGAAAAGTGCACATAAGGGGAGGAACCAGGAAGTTGGGAGGTGGCTCAAAGCACCCCCAGATTACCTGTGGGCCTTGAACCAGCCCCTTCCTCTGAGAAAGGTGGGGGATCTTGCTAGGAGCCCAGGGGCTGTCGTTTTATTCCCAGCAATTCTCTAAGGGGTTGTTGGAGAAGTCCCATATGAGAAAGATCCAATCAGAAACAAGGAGTTGTCCAATTTTCTGCTCACGTTGGATCTGGGAGGTTAGGAGAGGAATCTCTGACCTTGTTCTATCGCCGCAGGTCAGGCAAGCCTGTGTCCAGCCTAAGGCTCCCTCCCTTCCACTACAGCAAATCCAAATACTATAGAGTCCGAGTGGAGCAAGCGAACTGAGTGGTTGTGTAGCTGCGTCTCGGGGAGACCGGTAGCGCTTGCAGCATGGCTGACCAACCAACAGAAGAAGCTTTTTCACTATTTGACAAGGATGGTGATGGAACTACTACTATAACAACAAAGGAATTAAGAGCTGTAATGAGGTCTCTTGGGCAGAATCCCACAGAAGCAGAGTTACAGGACATGATAAATGCAGTGGATGCTGATGGTAATGGCACAATCGACTTCCCAGAATTTCTGACAATGATGGCAAGAAAAATGAAAGACACAGACAGGGAAGAAGAAATGCGAGAAGCATTCCGCGTGTTTGATAAGGACGGCAGTGGCTATATTAGTGCAGCAGAGCTTCGCCATGTGACGACAAACCTTGGAGAGAAGTTAACAGATGAAGAGGTTGATGAAATGATCAGGGAAGCAGATATTGATGGTGATGGTCAAGTAAACTATGAGGAGTTTGTACAAATGATGACAGTAAAGTGGAGACATTGTACAGAATGTGTTAAATTCCTTGTACAAAGTTGTTTACTGGCCTTTCCTTTGTTTGTAACTTATCTGTGAAAGGTTCCCCCTGTCAAAAAAAATGCATGTTTTCTTCCCTTATCCTACTGTTACTGTCCTGAAACCTTATTTTAGAAAACTGATCAAGTAACATGGTGCCTGTGGCTTACTCTGGATATATCTAAGCCCTTCTGCACATCTAAGCTTAGATGGAGTTGGTCAAATGAGGGAACACCTGGCTATGCGTTTTTAAGTAGTTTTCTTTAGGAACTGCCAGCATGTTGTTGAAGTGTGGAACTGTAACTCTGCGTGGACTATGGACAGTCAACAATATGTACTTAAAAGCCGCACTATTGCAAAACGGGTGTATTATCCAGGTACTCGTGCACTATTTTTTTGTTCTGCTGGTCCTATAACAGAAACATTTTTTTTTTATTGTTACTTGCTTTTTAAACGTTTAGTCACTTAAAGAAAATCTGCTTATGGCACAATTTGCCTCAAATCCACTCCAAGTTGTAGATTTGTTTTCCAATTAAAAAATTTTTTACCTGCCCCCCCGCCCCAATACTATCCAGCTGTCAGCCAGTTATGCCGTGTGCAGTGGAGCAGGGAGGCTTTGCAGAGGGAAGTCCTGGCTCTGAGTCCTGGTTCTGTCTCTTCATCTATGAAGTGGGGATAAGGGAAAACACTGCCTATGTTGCTTTGAAACTGGGCTCAACTTCTGTGAAGCAGCTGGCAGAGTGCCTGACCCAAAGGAGATGCTAGGAAGTGGTAGCTATTCCCATGGGCCTAGTGACAGGCCCACTACAGGTCCCAGCCATGCCTGCTTCCTGCTCCTCCATCACGCAGTACTCCTGGGCTGTGTGGCATGGGAGGTGCCTTGGTGACCACGGCTGCTGCCTCAATGACCTCTTGGTCACCGCTGCAGGCTGAGTGGCCAGGTAGTGGCCCCGCCTCCTCCCACACAGTCAACGAAGGTGAAAAGGACCACCGTTCTTCAGAGTCCGTCCTCAGTTAAGGACATGGGAGGAACAGGGCTGCCTGGCAGGAGGGCTGGCTGTGGTTTTACAGATATGGACTCTGGACTAGAACCCAGCACCTGGCCTCACGACAGAAGCAGCAGAAACTGGGATGTTTGAGGGGAGCGGTCCCTCACTGCTAACGAAAGCAAAAGCATGCGGTAGGAAGACAACACACCTTTCCTGGACGGCTGTTGTGAATCCCAAAGCAAGTTATTCTGGGGACCTGTGGTGGGGGCCCCTGAGGGGCATATTCCAGCATGCATGCAGTCACTCATTTATTTACTCCCACCTAGCATGTGCAGGTGGTCCTAGAAGCTGATCAAGGAGCCAGAAAGTAGAGGCCTGAAGTCACTGTCCCCCAGGGCTCACAGAGCAGAGACTGATAATTCTGTCAACACCTCCTCTCTGGACCCATGGTGACACCGCTGGAAGCAGGGGCCATGCCCACCCCAGGTGAGAATTGCTGCTCTAAGCTCCGAAAATGATGCCCAAAGGGAGATGAGCCCCTACTCCCCCATCTAGCCTGGTGAAAGTTTCAGACCGAAAGGCCATTTGGGTCTGCTGCAGCCCGAAGGATGCAAACCCCACACAAAGGAAGAACATCAACTTGATTACCACCCCAAATGATTAATGACCATTTATGTGATTCTAACTGTGACTGATATCAAAGGGCCGATTCTCAAGACTGGATGGGGCCTTAGAGGGGATCAGATTAAGCCCCATGAGGTTCCCAAAGCCCTTCCACAACTCTGCATCTGCTTGCACACCTACAGGGACAGGGAGCTCACCCCCTAACAAGTAGCCTGAACATCAGTAAGTGCTTCCTCAGTCTGTCTTACTGCTGTTCCCAACCATGGGTCCAAGGTGGGGGTGGCAGAAGGAAAAAGCTATTATGTTTAGGGCAGGGTATTTCCTCTACCCCCCCCCCCCCCAACCCCTAGCACTGCTGACACCAGGGACAGGTCATTCTCTGGGGAGCCATCCTGGGCACTGTGGGGAGTGGAGCAGCATCGTTGGCTCCCACCCACTCAATGCCAGAAGCATCCGCTGTTGTGATAACCACAGAGGTCTCCAGACATTGCTCCCAGTGGAGACCCCCTGGTTTAGGGGAATCCTTAGGGAAATAGTTGCTTCCAAAGACCAGTGAGCTCCACAGACCAACACTAACCTTTCCCAGCTGCTCAGCCCTTCAGAAAGTGCGGAGACAAATACCCTCCATACAGCCATCTACTCCTTCCCCTGCTCCCACCATCCTTCTCCCTTCCACCCAGCTGGCCTCTCCTTGTTGTGCAAACACAGCCTAGTCCTTTCTGCAGTGGCTACATGCCCCACAGGGACCAGACCGCCCTGAGAGTCACAAAGCACTAGTTCCCGGATCCGATCTGGTCTGGGAAGAGCACGTACAAAAAGGCATGGGATCCAGAAAGAATGGCCTGCAGTGAACAGACTGGGGAGGCTGCATGCATGGAGTGCACTGGTAGCAGAAAAAGGGAAAGGTGGCAAGGCCAAGAGGGTAGTCTCCTGAGACTGTGTGGTAGCAAGGAGCTGGGAAAGGGATCAGAAGTCGAGAGTGGAATGATCAGATATGGGCTTACAGACCAGCAGAGTGTAGTGTGGAGGCAGGGACAGCAGTGGTGAGCAGGGGAACCAGGGAGCAGATGCCTGCCTGTTCAGGTGAGAAAGTCGGCATCCTGAAAAGATGTGGGGTAGGGAGAGGAGAGGCCTCGTGTTGAAGCTGGAGTTGTAAGGGGAAGGGGGGTGGGGGAGAGTGGGTAGTTTGAGGTACGAGTGACCTCTTCTGGACACACTCAACCCAAGATGCATAGGAGAGATGGACAGAGACACTCAGGAGAGAACTGGCCGCTGGCTACGTGGGCCTGGAGTTCAGGAGTAAGCTTTGGGCACCAGCAGCAAATGAGGACAGGAAGCTAAGGGTGAAAAGCAGGCAGGTCATCAAGGAGCACGTGTAGAAGAGCAAAGAGGCATCTGAGTACAGATTAACAAGGGCCACCACACAAGAACCTGTTCCTGACTGATCATAGCAACGCTATTTATAATAGGCAAAAGGTGGAAACAGCTTGTGTCCACCAACTGTGATGGACAAACAAAAGGGGATATATCCATACTGGAGTATTATTTAGCCACGAAAAGGGACGAGCACTGAAAGCATGATGTTCACTAAGAAGCCAGACACTAAAGGCCACATACTGTGAGTCCATTTATGTGCAATGTCCATCCAGAGACAGAAAGCAGATTTGTGGCTGTCAGAGGCTGGGGGGATGGATGGGGAGTGACTGCTGACGGGGAAGGGACTTCTTTTTGAGCTGATGAAAATGTTCTGGAACTAGATAGTGGTGATGGATACACACACCTGTGAGCATACTGAAAACCACGAATTGTACACTTTAAATGGGTAGATTGTATGGCATTAGAATTATATCTGAATAAAGCTGTTATCAACAACAATTAATGAGTAAGATAAGAAGAAGGAGAGCCAGTGAAGGAGACAGAGGGACAGACAGAATGCATAGGAGGCCAGGAGAGTGGACTCTACATTCCCCTTACTTGGGGAGGGGCACCGTTTATCATGTGTACTGGTTGAATGGTTAAGTAAAGCAATGCTCAGTGTGCCCTGTCATTCCATTCACACGTGAGGAAACTGAGGCAGGGGAAAGTGGGCACTAGCCCAAAACACAGGATGTATGGCAGTCAGGGCACAAACGTCCTGGCAAGCGTGCACATCGGGGAGCTTTGGTCACGTACTGAGTCTCAGTGCTCAACAGATGTCTGTGCTTTGGAGGGAGGAGCTTCAGGACTTGCCTGGCTCCTAGCTGCATGCACAAGCAGGCCCCGCAGTGGCCAAACTCTCAGAGAGGTTGAGTGGGCAGAGTGGAGACCACTGGGGCCGGTGATGGGACAGAAACCAGACCACCAGGAGCTCTCGGGGCAGAAAGGGGGCCTCCACACACTCCTTTCTGCCGGCTCCCTGCATCAACCCCCAGAACGGGCCTGGCCCTCAGCATCCACTCAAGCAGCGTGTTCCAGCTCCAGCCCCACCAGGGCACAATGCAGGCTCTGGAAATAAAGTCCCTGCCCTCCCAGGGCTCACGGTCTGAACTTTAGCCCAGGATCTCCGCCCTCCGCGCTGCTGACAGAGGTGAGGTCACTCACTGTGAGGGGCTGTCCTGGGTATTCTGGGGTTTGGAACAGCATCCCTGGCCCCCACCCACTCACTGCCAGGAGCATCTCCAGTGTGACAAGCACAGACAGCCCCAGGTGAGAGCCTCTGCTCTGCGAGAGAAAAACTACAGGGGAACTGCCCTTCGGCTGGTTCCTAAAAGACCAACTCCCTTGATCTCTACACAAACTAGCCGACCCTGAGAGAACTTTAGGTCCTCATCCCGCTCAGTGACACTGAGCAAAAGGTCCCCACAATCAACCCCACTCGAGACCTCCCCAAACTCGGGAGTCCCAAGTGCACAAAACCTGCCTGGCCAGAGGTCCCAACAAAGAGCACTGGTGGGCGATTTCTGCTAAAACAGAGGAGCCAGTGTGAAATCAATGCAAAGCCACTTCTGAAGCCTCATTAGGTTTTCCTGTTTGCTTCCAGGTACTCCTCCCCCAGCCCCAATCCGCCGCCACCACCAGCACAGACACCTGAGACACTGCCCCCACCTCGGCAAACCACCTGTCCTTTTTGACCCAAGAGCTGTCCAAGGCCCAGAGCCCTGATTTTTGGAGGGAGTGGGCCCAAATCTTTAACAAAACCCTCCTGGAGCAATCCAACCTCACTTGCTACACAAAGATAGCAACCAGCACACCTGTTTCCACTCTCAGTTCAGAAGGGAACGCCAGTACACTATTGTCAAAACAGAAGGGGCCCCCAACATCAAAGGCCATGATGGTCCGAGAGAAATTCTGTTCAATACGCAGCCTAGGGGACAACGTACCACCCTGGGGACAGTCCCCAGAGGATCTCACCGGCTCCCAGCATGCAAACCCTGCTCCCTCCTCCAGGGGAGACTACCCAGCCTCCTTCTTTTCAAGTCCCTCCCACCTGTCTCCACTCCAGGGGGTGGGGGGTATGTATGCTGTGGGTGGATGGTTTTTCTTTAGATGAATTGTCTTCATTTAAAGTGTGGTTAAAAGGGGGGGAGGGGGGGCTTAATGGGGGGGGGGATGAGGGCACATTTGTAATACCTTAACTAATAAAGAATTTAAAAAACAATAAAATAAAGTGTGGTTAAAAAAAAAGGTGAAGGGATTAAGCCTACAAACTGCCAGTTATAAAAATAGTCACAGGGATGTAGCATACAGCATAGGAAATGTAGTTAATCATATTGTAATAACTGAGTGGTGCCAGATGGGTATCAGATTTGGCTAGTTCCTTACAGCACAGGTTAGGGCATGGGCCTGCTGTTGTGGGGATGAAGTGGGGGCCCTGGTTTTGGGGAGCAAAGCTACGCTTGCTATTTACAAAAGGATTGTGGGGGATAAGTGTAGGAGGGGAGGTCACGGGGTGCAGGTGGCTCAGAATGGGGAAGTCAAGCAAGGTCGGTTTTGGCGGTGGGGAGGCTCTAATTTGGGGGGAGATCATAAGGTATAAAAATGTCTAATCGCTATGTTATACACCCGAAACTAGTATACTATTGTATGTCAACTATAACTGAAAAAAAGACTATGTTAAGATGGAGGGGGTGGTAAAGGATGAATACAGCCTCACCAGTGAGAGGAATGAGCACATCACCTGGTGGACGGGGGTAAGGGGATCCATCTAGTTCCCAGCCTGAGAGGCTCCCTGAACAAGGAGATGATTTTTTGGGGGGGGGAGAACAGGGAAAAACAGATTTAGGCTGGACATCTGCACAGTGGTGGGTCTCAGGCTTAGGGTCTGGGACGGGTCTAGGTGATGCAGGACCAATGCAGGGGTGGGGGGGGGCATCATTTTTAGGAGAAAACAGCTCTGGCTGGGGAGGACATTCCACACTTGGAGGTGGGGTGTCTGGGGTGGTGGGGCTTGTGCTTGCAGGAAGAGACAGACCCATCCTGGATCTCAGAGCAGCTGGGCACAGACGGGCCACCTTAGATTTTGGTGGGGTCAGCCAAAATGGGAGAGCTTGATCCTGGGTAGCGGGGATTAGAAAGCAGAGGGGCTAGAAGCGAGGGGGGTGTTTATGCATTCAAACTGCCTCGCCTAAGTGCTTCAGTGTCAGGAGCCGAGAGGGGTGCGGTGAATACAATGGGGCACTGGGATAGACAGGGTCTCCACACCTCAGCCTACTTGATTCAGAGTCCACAAAGCTCATTTTGAATGTTATTGGGATGGGCGCTGGTTCGAGCCTGGGTGAGTCACATACAGCTATGGAAGGGCTGTTTAAATTTGGACAGGGCCTGACCTGGGATGGCCCGAACTTGGAAGACCCGGGTTTGACAAGCCAGAGATTATAGTACATATTAGGGCATGGACCCGCTGTTCTAGGGGTGAAATGGGGGGTGTCTCTTGTTTTTGGTTTTGGGGGCAGAGCTCGGCCCCATGTTATAAAAGGGTTGCAGGGGAGAGGGGGCGGTGAGGTCGACGGCTGCAGGTAACCCGGATTGGAGAGGTCACTCAGGGCTGGGTTTGGGGGCGAGGCTCGGATTTGGGAGTTAAGACGGTAGTGGGATGCTGAGGTCACCTGGGCCTAGCTCGGCTTGGGGGCGGTGTTCGGGGGTCCGGCTGCCTCCTGAAGCGCCCTAGCTTGGGTGTCGCAGCACGGCACGTCGACTCGGTTCTAGGGGGCTCTGGGTTGGTCCTCGCCGCCGCCAGGCCCGGCTCGGGGGTCGCGGCTCGGGTCCAGGGGGCGGGTCCCCAGATTCCGGCCACCTTACCTGGCTTGCTCCCGTCACCGGCTGGCTCCGAGGCCCCGCCTCTTCCGGCGCCGCGCCGCGCCGCACCGCCTCCGCTGCCCGCAGCCCCGCCGGGTCGGCTGCGGCCGCCACTGACGGGATTCCCGGCTCCGCGCTCCTTAATATGGCGGCGATCGCGGCTCCGCGGCCTCCCGCGCCCTTCTCAGCCGCGCGCGCTCCCGCGGCCGGCCACGCCCCCGCGCCGGCGCGGTGCGTGCTGCCGCCACGCCCCACCACGCCCCCGGGGCACGCCCACCGCACGGGGCTGCGCCTGCGCGCATTGGGCATCTCGGGAGGACGTGACGTAGCCTGCAATTCGAATCAATACAGGAAGCGCGGCGCCACGCGTTGCCAAGGGCAACCGTAGCCGGAAGAGGACCTGGGGCCTGGTGAAGGTGGCTCCCTGGAATACAGGGAAAAGGCTCTGATTAGTAGGGGATGGTCGCAGTAACGGACGCCCCAGGGCAGACCCACCATAGGGTGGACAGAAGCCAGACCCACATAGCAATGAGGCAGTCACACCAGGTGATGGGACCCAATGACAGGTGTATGTGCGGGACATGCAAACCCCTCTACCTGCAGACATTCATTCATTCATTCAAAACTAATGCTCCTCCAGGCTCTCCAAGCAGGGAACAGCACAACAACAAAAAAAAAATCTGCTAAAAAAATAAATAAAATCTCTGCTCCAAAAATGGAAAATGGGCAAAGGATCCCAACAGACAATTCTCTAAAGAAAATGAATGGCCCATAAGCACATGCTCACCATCATTAGTCATTAGGGAAATGCAAATCAACCGCAGTGCGATACCAATTAATGCATACCAGGATGGCAATGTTAAAAAACAAAAGAACCCCCTACCCCAGAATATAACAAGTGTGGCCAAAATGTGGAGCAACTGGAACCCTCACACATTGCTGGTGGGAATGGAAAATGCTGCAACGACTGTGGGAAACAGCCTGGTGTGGTTCCTCAAAAAGTTAAACAGCCCTAGCTGGTTAGGCTCAGTGAATAGAGCGTCGGCTTGCAGACTGAAGGGTCCCGGGTTTGATTCTGGCCAAGGGCACATGCCTGGGTTGTGGGCTCAATCCCCAGTAAGGGGTGTGCAGGAGGCAGCTGATCAATGATTCTCTCTCATCATTGATGTTTCTATTTCTCTCTCTCTCTCTCTCTCTCTCTCTCTCTCTCTCTCTCTCTCTCTCTCTCCCCCTTCCTCTCTGAAATCAATAAAAAAGTATTTTAAAAAAAGAAATATATTTTTAAAAAAGTTAAACAGAGTGACCATATGATCCAGCAATTCCACTTCTAGGTATATAATCAAGAGAATCTATACTAATAAAAGGGCAATATGCTAATTAGACCGGGTCAACTGGCCATCTTCCAGACATCCTATTTCCTTCTGGACAAAGCCATGGTGGTGAGGGCCGAAGCAGAGGCAGTTAGGGGTGATCAGGCTGGCAGGGGAGGGCAGGTGGGGGTGTGATCAGGCTGACAGGGGGTTAGGGGCAATCAGGCCGGCAGGGGAGGGCAGCTGGGGACAAGATCAGGCCAGCAGGGGAGGGAAGTTAGGGACTTAAGGCAGGCAGGCAGAGGCAGTTAGGGGCGATCAAACAGAAAGATTAGGGGCAATCAGGCAGGCAGGCAGGTGAGTGGTTAGGAGCCAGTGGTCCCAGATTGCGAAAGAGATGTCCGGCAGTCAGACATCACACAAGGGGTCCCTGATTGGAGAGCCTGCAGGCTGGGCTGAGGGACGCCCCCCCACCCCGTGCACGAATTTCATGCACCAGGCCACTAGTTAAAGATACATGTTCAGGAGAAACTAAGATGGCGGCATAGATAAACACCGGGATATCGCTGCCTCCCACAACAACTTCAAAAAAAACAACATAAAGACAAAACGAACAGCATCCAGAACTACAGGAAAGCTGGCTGAGTGGAAATTCCACAACTAGAAGGAAAGAAAACCACACTGAGAGCCAGAGGAGCTGCGGAAGTAAAGTGCAGAGGTACGGAGGCTCGCGTGCGTGGAAAGGGGCTGGTACCTGAGGATGCGGCTGTCTTTTTAAATTGAGAGGGAATCACAAGCTCCCGACTGCTCTGAATTCCGGTTCCGGGAAGTCTCTGGGGACCCAGGACTCATACGGGGAGAAACTGGACTGTCTGGCAGCGGGCAGAACTCGGAACTTGAGGTCGGCTTTCCCTCAGAGGTGCTTGCAGCAATTACCGGGACACTGAGACGCGCGGCCCCTTAGGGCAGGGCTGGGAATCCGCCATAGCTGCTTGCTCCGCCCTTTGATTCCCGGAGACCCCGCCCCACCCAGGCTGCGGCAGAGGCTTTTGCATATGAATGCCCCGGCCCTTTGCAACCTGAAAATTACCTAACAAACTGCAGCGGGGCCACAGACCCAGAACTTCCAAGAGAAGGCCCAAGGCCCCACAGCAGCTTGCATTGCTTCACAGCTGGGCCTCATCAGGGTACCTCCAAACTCCAAAAAAGGAAGGGGAATCTGCAGTTCTCTTCATAGCTCCTGCTGTGTAACCTCAGGCAGAGGCTAAATTAGCACCTCCTTAGATCCAAGAGCCAGTGTACCCAGTGGTCAGAGAGGGACCATCCAGATTACAACTCCTCAGATCCATAAGGGACACACTCAGGGTGCAGACTCAGTGAGCACCAAATCCCCACTGAAGCAAGTCTTGCCCCAGAAGGGTGTCTTCAGCACAAAAGTTCTCCCACTGCAGACACAGCTGATTCTCACTGCCAATTGGCCTGGAGGTCAATTCCTCCCAGTGATCCTACAACAATCAAGGCATAACTACAATAAGACTGTGCAAAAAGCCCACAAGGGGGTGCACCAAGAGTGTCCACCTCAGGTAACTGGGGAGGCTGAGCCACTGGGCCCTATAGGACACCTAACACACAAAACCACTCTACCAACACAGGGAAGCATAAAAAATGCGGAGACAAAGAAACAGGTCACAAATGACAGAAATGGAGGAAAGCAAACGACTGGATATAGAGTTCAAGGCCAGGTTTATAAGGTTTTTCAAGAATTTTATGGAAACCGCCGATAAATTTAGTGAGGCCCTCGATAAATCTAGTGAGACTCCCGAGGATATGAAAAAGGACCAACTAGAAATTAAGCATACACTGACTGAAATAAAGAATAATATACAGAGATCCAACAGCAAACAAGAGGATCCCAAGAATCAAGTCAAAGATTTGAAATACGAAGAAACAAAAAAGACCCAACCGAAAAAGAAAAAAGAAAAAAGATTCCAAAAATATGAAGATAGTGTAAGGAGCCTTTGGGGCAACTTCAAACGTACCAACATCAGAATTATAGGGGTACCAGAAGAAGAGAGAGGGCAAGATATTGAAAACCTATTTGAAGAAATAATGACAGAACACTTCCCCTACCTGGTGAAAGAAATAGACTTACAAGTCCAGGAAGTGCAGAGAACCCCAAACAAAAGGAACCCAAAGAGGACCACACCAAGACACATCATAATTAAAATGCCAAGAGCAAAAGACAAAGAGAGAATCTTAAAAGCAGCAAGAGAAAGTCAGTTACCTACAAGGGAGTACCCATACGACTGTCAGCTGATTTCTCAACAGAAACCATGCAGGCCAGAAGGGAGTGGCAAGAAATATTCAAAGTGATGAACAGCAAGAACCTACAACCAAGATTACTTTACCCAGCAAAGCTATCATTCAGAATAGAAGGTCAGATAAAGAGCTTCACAGATAAGAAAACGCTAAAGGAGTTCATCACCACCAAACCAGCATTATATGAAATGCTGAAAGGTATTCTTTAAGAAGAGGAAAAAGAAAAAGGAACTCTTACCATTTGTCACAGCATGGATGGAACTGGAGAGCGGATAAATACCACATGATCTCACTCATTTGTGGAATATAATGAACAACATAAACTGATGAACAAGGACTGATCCAGAGACCGAGAGGCATTGATTGGACTGTCGGGCCTTGGAGGGAAGGTAGGGGAGGGTGGGGGTAAGGGGGAAAGATCAACCAAAGGACTTATATGCAAGCATATAGGCCTAAACAATGGACACGGACAATGGGGGGGGGGGTGAGGGCATGAGCGGGGGGGGGGGGGAGAGGGTAACGTGGGGATAAGGACACATATGTAATATCTTAATCAATAAAAAATATATTTAAAAAAAAGATACATGTTCACAGAAATATTTGTACATGAATGTTCATAGCAACATTATATATAACTAGAGGCCCAGTGCATGAAATTCATGCACGGGTAGGGTCCCTAGGCCTGGCTGGCGATCAGGGCCGATCGGGGCCTTCCAGCTGCTGGCCGGGGCCTTCCTTCGTTCTGTGCCACCCCCTGGTGGTCAGGACACATCATAGCGAGCAATCGAACTCCCAGTCTCCTGGTCGAACTTCTGAGGGGACACTTTGCATATTAGCCTTTTATATATATAGATAGCCAAAAACTACAAACAACCCACCAACAAATGAATGGAATGAATAAACAGAATGTAGTATATCCATATCGTGGCATAGTGTTTGACAATAAAAAGGAGTGAAGCACTCACATATGCTACAACATGGATGAGCATGTTGAAAACACGATGTTCAGTGAGAGAAGCCACATAAAAAAGGCCACATAGTGTGTGATGTCATGTATGTGAAACGTTGAAAACAGGCAAATCATGTTCTGGGACAGGAAGTGGATTTGTGGTTGCCAGGGGGAGTGGGATGGGGGGTGACGTTTAGGGACTTCCTTATTGGGGTGATGAAAGTGTTCTAAAATTGATGTAGTAATGGTTGCACAACTCTGAATATACTGAACCCCACTGAATTATACACTCTAAATGAGCGAATTTTACAGTATGTGAATTACATCTCAGTTGTAAAACAATTCCTGTATGCCTGGAGCTGAATTGTGGAGAATAACAAAAACAAAGTGGAAAGTAAAGGTCTTAAATACAGTGATCATGGAAGGTCTCACTGCAGTGATGACACTGGGACAAAGATTGGAAAGGAAAGAGCACACTGTGGTATACAACTTCTGTTCCTTAGTATGAAATTATATAATACAAATACTTGCTTATTTGATTTCAGTGAACTCCGCCACCACTGTAGGATTTGGATCAGCGCCATCCAGCGTCACTGGGGGAGCTACAAAAGCAAGGGGCTGTGCATG